TTAGCCATACGGAGAGCCTGACTTTGTGGATGAATGGAATTGGAAACTCTTAAAGAGGCAAGATGACATGGCACGCCAGTGACCAGAGATCACAGCTGGGGCCAGATTCCTTCTTTTTGGTCCAGAGTACTTTTCAAGCTCATCCAATCTTTATGCAAACAATAGTAAAAGTGAGAATAGGATTCAGACCAAGATGAAGTCAGGTGAAGCTGACGGAGCAATTCCACAGCTGTGACAGCTTGGATGGTGCATGCTCCAGCTCTGGCTGGGCTGCCTGGAGGCTCCACCTTCTGTGGCCCACACTGGATAGTGACTGAGCAGGCAGTGGGCAGGAATCTTTGGACCATGCAGGATTTGAAGCAGCAACAATTCCAACCATCAGGGAGCAGTGTTTCATCACATCCCACTTGGCCAATGAGCCTATTCTCCAAAGCAGAAGAAAGTAAATGTTTCAGGGAACAGAGAGTTGTTTAAAATAAGAGTGTTTGCGTGTAGAAAAGAGAGAGACACATTAGCCTGGACTTAACAGTGCTCTCTCAAAGACAGGCATTTTATCATTTTGCCTATCTCTCCTCTAACTTGAGTGGGTATATCGTTGACACAGCTGTAAAATTGTCCACGTCAGGTCAGTCCAGCGCGGTGCCTCACACCTGTAATCCCAGCACTATGGGAGGCCAAGGTGGGCGGATCACCAGAGGTCAGGAGTTCAAGACCAACCTGGCCAACATGGTGAAACCCCATCTCTGCTACAAATACAAAAATTAGCTGGGCGTGGTGGCGGGTGCCTATAATCCCAGCTACTTGGGAGGCTGAGGCAGGAGAATCACTTGAACCGGGAGGTGGAGGTTGCAGTGAGCCGACATTGTGCCACTGTATTCCAGCCTGGGCAACGAGAGCAAGACTCTGTCTCAGAAAACAACAAAAGCAAAACAAAAAATTGTCCATATGTCCAACCCCCTTTCACATGACCCTTCTCCTGTGATCCAGTTTGAGATTGGGAAGTCCTCTGGGGGCAACTGGTGGCCCCAGAAAGTACAGCCTAGAACCTGGTTAGAAACGCCTCGTCTGTGCAGCCCCAAGCCAGACCACCGCCCCCTCCTCTGTCCTCCACCAGGAGGCACGGTCACGCCCATTACCCATTCTGCACCCGGCTTCTCAGACACAGCTATCACCGGCTTTGCCACAGCCGGGTGCCACTGCTGTACTCATTATTGACCATTCTGCTGAGATATTAAGCACTTTGGCTTGGCTGGGGGATTGTTAATCAACAACCTTGTCAGAGTGATGGATTCTTCTACGATTAGTGCTTAATTAGCTTGTTTAGAGGTAAAAATCAACGAGGCCACCGATTCTCTGGGGACTGGGAGGTAGTAGAAAGGGATCTTGGTGATATCCCAGAGAGCCTCTGACCAGAGCAGGCCTTAAGCTTGCATTCATTGGGCATCTCACAGTCGCTGTGGTTGCTGAAGTCTAGGGAATTGCCACCATCCAGTAAAGTTGCAAAAGCCGTGATTCCTGAAATGTCACCCAGAGACCATGTGCATCAGCTGGGGAGCTTTAAAGTCACAGATCCTCAGGGCCAGCCCCAGACCTTCTGGATTAGGATCGCAGAAAAAATTTTAAACAAGCTACTCAAGGCGATTCCTACGCACAGTAAAGGTTGAGACTCATAGCCCCAGAAGTTTGAGGTTAGTAGAGTGAACTCTGATGAGCGTTGGATAACTCAGCATTTCCACTGGAATGGATTTCACGTGGCTGGGCTCACGCTCCAATACCCTCACCAGCACGTGGCCCCAGTCGTCTTCCATCTGTGTTAATCTTCCTATTTCTGTCGCATCGTCTGTCTCCTCCATCAGATTTGTCTGCATTGCTCTCATCCAGGCCTCGTCTATCTGCTCCTCGTCTTTCTGAAGTTGCCTTCCTTCCCCAGGTCATTCCCCGTCTCCATCTTTTTGCCTTTCCATCTCTCCTCCACTTTCCTTTTCTCTCTGTGCTGCCTGTTGTCTCTTGGTCCCTGAGAGCTTCCACCGCCCTTTCTATATTCTCTCCCGTTTGGCAGGGACTGGAAGCCTGAGAAATGCCCTTGGCAGGACAGATCCAGGCACAGGCATTTGTCCCACCCGTGAGATGCATGTGGGTGACATTTGGAAGGCAGAAGAGAGGCAGAAGGCATCTGATTCTGCCTCCAGGAGGGTGCGCAGATGAGTGGGTTTTAGCAGATGTGAGGTTTTGTCCTGCAAGTCACTGGCCTTAGGCAGCAGGAGGCCAGGACCACTACGGGCAGCTCCCTGTTGTGTCTGGCTTGGGTAGCAGTAGCAGCTTCTTGATTGTCTTCAAGCGAATGGTGAGCCTGGGAGTTAGTGGTGACCTTCCTGGCCTTTGGTCCCTTATCCAACAGCTTTGTAAGTGCCTCATTCCTTAGACTAGGCCCCTTCCTTCTTGGAATACCTTGAGTGGTGTTTGTTTTCCTGACTAGTCCTGGTGGATGCACTCTCTGTTCTCCTCCACCATTTAAACTCTCTAGTCCATATTCTATCCCCTTTCTTATTCCCATCCCTTCCTCCTAATTGCTGTGGAATACAATTACAAGTTTTAAATGTTGAATTTTAGGTGTTATATTGTCTTAGTTCTGAGCGGAACGCTTTTTGAAGTTGGAAAATCCCTCCATAAATGTAGTTGCCTATAGTGAGTCCCCTTCTGGGTTCCATCCTAGGGGGTTGGGAGCAGGGAGAGAGCCCAGGTACGACCAGTGCCCTGTGATTTCCTTCTGTGAATCCTGCCTCCACCTCCTTTGGGCCTGGAGATGCTGAGAATCAAGGGGGGCAAAAGATCCATTTCTGTCCCAGGGAAAAGCTGAGCTAAAGTCACACTCTGCCCTCCCAACCACTGGCTATGCACACGGAGCTGCTGTCTGGAGTCCTGGAGTGAGCGTGTGCGTGCATGCACACATGCTGTCAGATATCACCTCACTGGGGTCACCCCCAGCTCCAGGGAAGCAGGCCAGTCCCTCTCTCTCCTCCACCCAGGACCAGCCTCAAATCTAGTCGCTGCAGAGGCCACAGTCACTGAATCAGGGGACTTGGGCTTCAATCTTGTATCTGCCACTTCTAATGGCATGGCCACCTCTTCTCGGTGCCTCAGGGATCTCATCTGTAAAATGGACAAGAAGAGCCTGGACACCTCACTTCCATCACTGGGCAGCTGTAGCAGCAGAAGCTCTAGCGAGCCTACGGGGCAGGTGGGGTTTGTGCTTGAGCCTCTGTCATTTGCTCTGTGAGGGATCCTACCCCTCCATCTGGGCACTAGCCATGGTCCTTGCCCACCTCCTCATTTTGCAGAGACAAAGCAACCTGTCTCAGGACCCACTGTAAGAGGCTGGCAGGGCCAGGTTGTGTCTGAGATCTTCAGCCTGTCAAGCCTGCCCTGCTCTGCAGAACTTTCTCACCCTTGGCTGAAGGACATGGGGAGTCCCGCAGAGGTGCAGCCTTGGTGTAATCTGGCTGGTCTGCCCTGTGCCGGGGCTAAGGATCAAGGCCCTGCCCTTCCCTGGGGAGACTGGAATATAATCTCCCCCAGCTTCAAGCAGGGAAGCCAGGACCCCTCTGCTATGGCCACCTGGAGCCTTTCTGAGCCTTCTAGAGACCCAGCATGGCAGGGAGAGGGAGTTTTTCAATTAAGCAGTTGAGAACCCTGCCCCTTTAACTCCTGTTAGTTTAAACAGAAAATTAATGACTAGTCCCTGAGCAAAGCCTGTGAGGGAGGAAACTGCCCTGCATCCTGAGGACACCAGTCCAGCCTGTGCAGACCCCCGGGCTGCTCACCACTGACCCTAGGCCTGCAGTATCGCTCATTTCTGCTTGTCCCCCCGGATATAAGCAGGCCCAAAGGAGCTTGGGATGACACGTGGTTGTGGCAGCAAATTGTGCAGGTGGGCTGGACTTTCTACCTGGATGCCCGAGTGAAGGTCAACGTTGAATCCTGTAGGAAATGGCTCACTCATTCTTCTAGATTTTCTCTCTTCTTAGAGTCTCTGTTAACCTGCCAGTCCCAGGATCTTTAGACATTAGTTTTTTTTTTTCTTTTCTTTTCTGAGACAGAGTCTATCTCTGTTGCCCAGGCTGGAGTACAGTGGTATAATCTCGACTCACTGCAACCTCCGCCTCCCGGGTTCAAGTGATTCTCCTGCCTCAGCCTCCTGAGTAGCTGAGATTACGGCGCCCACCACCATGCCCAGCTAATTTTGGTATTTTTAGTAGAGACGGGGTTTCACTTTGTTGGCCAGGCTGGTCTCAAACTCCTGACCTTGTGATCCAACTACCTTGATCCCAAAGTGCTGAGATTACAAGCAAGAGCCACCACGCCTGGCTTTAGACATTAGGTTTAACTCCAAAGTCCATGCTTACCACCATGCCATCTATCCTGGCTAACCAAACAGGACTGAGAGGCAAAGTGACCTGTCCCAAACTTTGCTGTGTGTGACTCTCTGGCTATTCAAAAGCCTTAGCAAGAGGAGTTCAACTCCTTGAGCAGGTAGCTAATCTACTTGAAACGACTTTGAAGACTTTGCAATAGTTCCTGTGGATGAGGTCACTTGGCTGCGTGTTTGCTACCTGCATACAGCATGCAGTCACTTCTGAGTGCTGCCCTCGCTCCTAGCATGGGTGAGAGAATGATGATGCAGCCCTGTCCTCTGGCCACGCCACTCAGAAAGTCCCACTCAGCAAGCTTCCCACTTTTGTATCCCTTTGACGTACCCATTTGCAAGGATTCTCTCACTGCGCTGATGCTTCCAGAAATGAGCTTTCCAACTGCAAATTCTTCAGAGTGGGCTCTGGCCCAATTATGCTGTGGCATCTCTCCCATCCTCTGTGGACCTAGCCTTTTTGAGATACCCAGTGACCGCACCATGGACGAGGAGGGAGCGAGGGAGGCGTCTGCCTTGCTGGCTACCTTTCCTCTTCCCCAAATGTATTTTTGAGACAGAATCTGAGTGAGAGATCTTTATGGAAAACATGTTTTATTTCTGCCTTTTGGTTGTGAAATCATCAGGATTCAGACATAAGAAAGTGTAATTATTCTGCAAACACCCAGTAGGCAGCTCCCGTGTCACCCACAGCACCCAAGGGTGGGCAAACTGGCTCATTCTGGCTCTTCCAAGATATGAATCCAACTGGTGATGGGGCACTCTGAGGCAACTTCTCCTTTCCCACAGGGAGACATCTCCTGCTTCATTTTCCAAGGCAACATAGGTTGAGCACATCCCAAAATGCTCCGATGAGCTGCTTGGTGGCCACAGGCTTACCAGGGCCTGGGCCAGGCGAGGATCGAGCCCAGGCTGTTGGAAAACAGTTTGGACTCCATTTCACACAGGGCCGGTTTAGATGTATCACAACCACAGCGGGCAGCACAGCCTCTTAGAATGAGAGCCCGATTCTTGAGTGATCACTGAGCGCTTGTCCTAGAGAAAAGCATGGAGGCGAAAATGCAGAAAGCCCAGGGTGAGTAAAGGAACTTCTTCCTTTGAGTGACCACAGATGCGGGTCTCCATTCCTACAGATGTTGTTCTGTATCATCCCACAGTGGAGGAAGCAATGGTACTTCTCGCTGGCAAGGCTGACAGACCCCAACATGCCAGTGGCCCCTTAATAGATGGGAATGACCCTACCCCATTCTTCAAAATTCCTCAAAAGGCACACCCCATCTGTCCTGCCCCAAGCTTGAGTTCATACCATAGCCCATCTGGCACCCTGAGTGCTGGCACTGGCGTGGAGGGAAACTTGGGGAAGGGATGTTCCTTCTGTCTCTGGGCAGGTTGGAAGGGCTGAGGCCAGGGGTTGCTACAGTAACAAGACCCCTGAACTCTGTCCCAGCTGAGCTCCAGATAGCTGGTTTTGGGCTTCTGCAGAGGAGTGGGTTTTCTCAAGTACAAGGGGCTTGGATTAAAGTGACATTCGTGCACAGACATGTTTCTGCAGCAATCAGCCAGCTGCCCTACCCACGGGGTCAAGAGGCCTCAACTCTTCTTCCCTGTCTCATTCCTCCTCTCTTGAACCCTCAACTCTTGTCTCTCAGACTACTTGCTAGTTTGCCTATTTATTTTTTTCATAAAAATTCAGTCCAAGAGACATAATTTAAAACTTCAAATAGTACTACAAGACACGAAGGAAAAATGGCAGCTTCTTGTCCCATTTCTATCCTTAATTTCCATACCTAAACTCTTTCTTCTGATGTTTACCTCCATATTTCTAGGTAAAATGCTTATGCAGTTAATTCCTGATTTGTCGATTTTAAATGCCCATTGACTTCTTATGATGGAAGATGGGGCAGTTGCTCCTCACTCACTTTCATGACTACATCTTCCCTCCTTCCATCCTTCTAATATATTTATATCACATTTTTGTTAAATCAATATTCCATTTTTATTTTATTACAATTTATATGTACTGTTTGCTGCTGAGTGAAAAAGTACTCTAGGATCACATTTTCTTTCTTCTATAACTCTATTTTTGCAAGAGTTAGTAACCACCTCATTTTTTTTTTTTTGCCTGCTTAATTTGTCATTATCCTACTAATTCTTCCAAAGCTCTCCAGCGGAATTTCAAAATCATTCTGAACATTATTTTTCTTGGAATTAAGCAATCTGATCAATGACGGCTCCCATTTTTCCTAAAGGTCGTCCCTCCAGCTCCCCTGGGGATGGCTCACTCTCTTGCTCTGCTGCACAGCACTGGTCCTTGGACTTGCCTGCCTCTGTCCAGTGTTGGATCTTCTGTTTTCTAGATTCCAACTCTTCCTCCTCCTTGGTTTATGCCCTTGGAGTGTACACATCAGTTCCCCAGTTGGATACATTTTTCTTCCAAAGCCAGCTCCAGAAGCCTGGACACCCTGGCATCTCCAGGTGCCTGGTAACTACCAGGTGTATGCTTGCCAATGGTGTTGAGAGTTTCCACATCACCAGAGGCACATACAGACTCAACTCACAAGTATAGGAGAGTTTAACTTAAACTCTGACAGTTCTATCTGCCCTAGGGTGTCAGTCTTCAAACCAACGCCTAGCCAGGTATCCCAAAAGGAATTTGTTTGGATGAACAGGATGAGATGAGATGGGACAGATGGATTTACTAGGCTAGAAGCAGACTCACCCTGCAGAAAACTGTTGTTGGTCATCAGTAAGACCAGGGCCACTGTTGTTATATTTCACCTAAATCCTGCAGACTAAGAGAGGTGGCTTTTTCCTCTGGACACTGTGTTTTTATACAGTGGGAAATTGTTATAAATACCAATTTTGTTAGAATAAGGCATTTTACTGGCATATTGACAGTAGATCAACACGGATGTAGATGACATTAGCTAGACAAACTCTCAGCAGGGTGTGATTTGCTGTATATTAAACCTCAAGACTCTGAAATCAATTAAAATCAGTACGACCCCAAGTGTCCAAGGAGCACAGACCAATGAACTAATTATTAGCATTCTTTCAAGTATGAACTTTATATTTTAATGTAGTTATTGCCTGCAATGTGACAACAAGGAATATACTTTGTTCAAAGTAAATATATGTGATGGGAAGACAGGAAGAGGAGTTCAGTCCAGTTGCATATATCTGTGACCCAATCTGCTAGGTCAGAGGAGAGCAGATGGGCTGGAGATGATAAGAGAGAGCAACAGAAGTATTTTCACAGTGAAAGTATATCTCAACTTGCCCAGTGAGGCCAAGGGCAGATAGAAGACCTCTCGCACACAGTCTGCAGGGAGTGACCTGGAAACAAAGTAGACTGGTGATGGAGTTCCAATAACCTTCATCTTTGGAGAGAAGCTCGCTTAACTCAGGACAAAGCCTTTGCTTGCTCCAGTGACACTCTGCAACACAGACAGGGACTTCTCTGGATTGAATCCTGGCTAAAAAGAAAAGTCTTTTTGTTGACCTCAGAGTGTCAGAACTCCTAGAAGAAAGAAACTTTGTAATAGCAAAGAAATGGAATATTGGGTAGAATCGAAGAGACCTGGATGGACACTTTCAACTTTTTCAAAAAAGTGAGGGAAATTTTCAAAGTTTTCAAAACAGTGAGGGAAAAATAGGCCTTCATAAGATAATATGGGTCATGATGCGTTAGAGATAATAACAAGATAATGTGTACTATCTGCCTCTCAGCATATCTGAGGGGAAGGAAATAGACCACAGCTAACATAGCAGGAAGACGAGGGTGTAAGCTAATATTGACTAATGTTGGGATGAGAACAAAACAAAGGAAGATATAAACGTGAAAGAACAATTTCTTTCAGTTATTTGGAAAAAAGTTACCAACTAGCTTCTTTATGGCAGGTGTTTCACTCTGTGCTAAGGAAATAGCAACAAACAACACATAGCCAGGCTTATAGTCTAGCAGAAAATACTGACACCAGGCATGTAAGGAAAAGTGTGTTAGCCCAGCCAGCTACAAATAGAAGAGAACTTCCTCAAACTGGCGAATGGCATCTATGAAAAACGTCATCATATTTAATGGCAAAAGACCGGGTGTTTTCTCCCAAGATCAGGAATGCAAGGTTGTCTGTTTTTTCACCTCTATTCAGCATTGTATTAGGGATTCTAGCCAGGAAAATTAGGCAAGAAAAAGAAATAAAAAGCATCTATATTGGAATAAAAAAATAAAACTCCCTTTACCTGCAGATACACAATCTTTGAATATATAAAATTCTAAGGAAGCCCTTTAAAAATATTGGAACTAACAGACAAATTTAACAAGATTGCAGGATATAAGATCAATATAAAAATAATTTTTATTGCTATATACTAGCAAGGAAAATCTTAAAATAATATTAACAGTTTCATTTAAAATTGTATCCCAAAATACAACAGTTAGGAATAAATTTAAGAAGGCAAGTGTAAGACTTCTACACCGAAAACTGTAAATCATTGTTCAAAAAATTCAAGAAGGTCTATAAAAATGTAGAGACATATAGAACAAAATATTTTATATTGTGAAGATGGCAATATTCCCCAAATTTACCTTTAGATTTAATGTAATCTCTATCAAAATCCCAGAAACTGTTAAGTTGATTCTAAAATTTATATGTAAATGCAAGGAACACAGAATAGCCAAAAGTAAAATAGCCAAAAGTCTTGAAAAGTAAAACAAAGTTGGAAAACTCACACTTCCAGATATCAAAACTTACTATAAAATTATAGCAATAAACAAAGTATGATAGTGGTATGAGGTACACATATAAATCAATGGGACAGAAAGGAAAGTCCATAAATAAATTCTTATATTAATTTTTGAAAAGGATTCCAAGACAATGAAACAGGAGAATGAATAGTCTTTTCAACAACTGGTACTGGGACAAATGAATGAATGCAAAATAATGAAATTAGAGCCCTACTTCACACCACATAAAAAAATACCTCAAAATGCATTGAAGACCTAAATGAAACAGCAAAACTCTAAAACTTTTAGAAGAAAAACAGGAAAAAATAGTTTTGACCTTGGGTTAGGCAATGATTTCTCAGCTATACCACCAAAATATATGACAAAAGAAAAAATAGATAAATTTATCTAATTAGACTTCATCAAATTTAAAGACTCGTATGCTACAGATGATAACATCAAAAAACTGAAAAGACAACCTAAAGAAGGGGAGAAAAAATGTGCAAATCACGTATATAAGGAATTAGTATCTAGAATATACAAAGAACACCAACAACTCCTCAGCAGTAAAAATATAAATAATCCAGCTTAAAAATGGAGGAAAAAACCTAAATGAACATTTATCCAAAGAAGATACAGAAATAATCCATGTGCACTGAGAAGATGATTGAAATCATTAGTCATCATGAAAATGCAAATCAAAACCACAATGAGATGTCACTGCATACTCCCTAGGATTGCTGTAAAACACAGACAATGAGAAGGGTTGCTGAGGATATGGAGAAGCTGGAATTCTCATTTGCAGCTGGTGGGAATGTAAATGGTGTAGCTGCTTTGGAAAACACATCGGTGGTTCCTCAAAAAGTTACAAATAGAGTTTCCATATGATCCAGCAGTTCCACTCATAACTATACACTCAACTGAAATGAAAACATATGTCCCCCAAAAATGTGTGCGCAAACATTCACAGCAGGATTAATAATAGTCAACCCTAGAAACAATCCACATGTCTATCAACTGAGGAATAGATGAATAAAAGGGGGTATAGCAACAATAAAATTTTATTTGGTACTTAAATGGAATTAAGTACTGGTACACGCTACAGCATGGATGAATCCTGACAACATTGTGCTAAGTGAAAGAAGCCAGCCATAAAGGACCACGTGTTGTATGAATCCACTCATATGAAATGTCCAGAATAGGTAAACCTATAGATTTAGAAGGTAGATTGGCGGTTGCCTCAGGCTAGAGGGTGGGACACAATTGGAGAGCAACTGCTGTGGGAGTGCTAGAGGGGCATGGGGTTTCTCTTTGTGGTGATAAAAATGTTCCAAAAATCATATCGCGGTGATGGTTGCACAACTCTGACTATGCTAAAAACCACTGAACTCTATACTTTAAATGAGTGAACTGTACAATGTGTGAATTATATCTCAATAAATTTCTTTAAAAGAAGGAATGGGCAACAATCAAGTGTACGGTGAATGTTATGACTGGGGAGGGGTGATATGTGAGTAATATGGGAACCCATAACATGGGAACCCAACTGGGCTAAGACATAAAGGATCAGGAATTTGGTGACTGATAGACAAGACAGAGCAGACAGACCAAAACTTTGAGGCTGGGAAAAGCATGGAAAATAGAAGAAAAGATGGAATGGTGTGGTGGGAGTAGAGAGCAGGAAAAAGAGGCACAAGTTGTGGTTAGATGGTGAGCAGGGGCAGAGGAGGCAGGCTCTTGTGGTCCATGTTAATGATGCCAGATTTTTCCTGTGAGCAATGGAAAGACCTTGAAGGGTTTCTAAGCCTGGAGAATGCAGTGATTGGATTTGAATTTTTAAAAGTGTAGCCCGGCTACAGGAAATTGATGTGAGGGATACAAGTGGATATAGGAAAATCAGATAAGGAGGCCATGTGAAAGTCAGGGAGAGATGACGAAGAAATCTGAACGAAAGCAGTTAGGGAGAGTGGGAAGTGAGAACATGAAGACGATGAGCTTTTCTGTGACATTGGGTTGTAATGAGAAGAAAGAGTTGGAGTTTAGCTGGAAGGGTAGGAGATGGAAGAAATTTAAAAGATATGCATTTTTAAATGGGAATTAAATGACTCCAGAAGACAGAGACAGGTTTAGTATTCAGAAGACAGAAGAGAGAATTCATTCAATTCGGCGCTTGAGAAGGTAAAGGGTAATGAGATACAGAACATCCTCAAAGGGATGTGCCCTCTAACATAGCAGGAGGAAGGGAGGAAAATAGTTACAGAGGAAGGTGGGTTTGTAGATTTGGAGGTAGAACTTCTTCACCCTTCTGCCTCCAATTCTGCAAAGCAACCCACGAGCCAAGAATGAGTGGATGTGCTTTAATGACGTGACACCAGAGTGTGGTGATTAATGAGGAAGCTAGGGAAGCACTCCTGGGGGCGAGGATAGGCATTAATGAAAGAAACCAAAGCAAACACAACCATGCATCTAATATTATACTTCCTTCTGACATATTTTTCAAAAGTAGGAAGGGTAGAAACATTAGCTAAGAGAGAATCGGGACCCTGTACTGGAGAACAGATAATAAGAGAGGATCCAGTTATTTTTGAAAGTTTAGGCCTTCAGGCCCCATGTATCAAATTAGCTTAAAGATACAATAGAAGAGTCATGTCTGATATTAGAAATCATGCAGATTGGAACAGGCACAATAAGACTGGAAATAAATGTTCTATTTTAAAAAGGAGTGAAAGGAGAACTCAAGGAAATATGGTTGGGTCAAATTATGATCTCAGCAGTATTTGTTAATTTTGATCACCAGAAAGCATCAAACATTCATCAGGAAATATTTCTGCTAAAACATTATTTATGGAGACAGTGTCTGTCTCTTGACTTCAAGGTAGATGAATGGGAGATTAAATACTGTTTACAAAAACCATAGAGCTTTAGGTGATACTGATCACAGCTGGCTGCATGGAGAACTGTATACTTCGAAGGTACATTGCACCTAGAGAATGGTCACCAGGAGGTCTGGATGGAAATCCAGCAGGAGTAACCAAAGAAGACAGGCTTTGGGCAAAACAGCAAAGTTATTCTCAAGTATTTGTAGGCCAGACATGTCTAGTATTTTTTTTTTTTAAGTGGTCCAGAGAGTAGAGCTAGAGAGCTAGAAGTATGAGTAGAAAGTTTCAGGGAAGTAGATGATTGCCTCTAGATAAGAAATACCTAACACTGGAGAGGCCCAGCAGTGGGAGCCACAGCATCTTGAGCTCCCCAGTCCTAAAAGATTCTAGAAGACTGATGGGGCTTCTGCTACAGCAGGGTTGGGGTGTGGACTAAGTAATTCCAAGGTCTGTTCCAGGAAAATGAATATAGAGGAAAAGACATGAGTGTTAATTCTTCAGCACACTCATGCCAGAGGGATAAACACTGATGCCTGCAGATGTCCATAATCTGTCCAAAGCAGCACAGTGAGACAGCTGGGCTAGAGCCCATTCTTCTCTCCCCAAGGCCTGACCGTCTCTGTTGCTCTACACCAGGCGTCCCCAAACTACAGCCCGCGGGCCGCATGCGCCCCCCTGAGGCCCCCCTCCGCACTTCAGGAAGGGGCACCTCTTTCATTGGTGGTCATTGAGAGGAGCACAGTATGTGGTGGCCCTCAACGGTCTGAGGGACAGTGAACTGGCCCCCTGTGTAAAAAGTTTGGGGACGCCTGCTCTACACCATTCCATTTCCACCATTTCTCTTGCCTTTCCTGTGCTGAAAGATCACCTTTTATCTTTGGAACTTCAATAAAGAATACTAAACCCTCGTTCATGCCTTTCAAGCCACTCCATTCCACAAAGGTCCACGGTCAACACTGTCTGCATCTGCAGCACTGGCCTTGAAACTCAAAGCCTTGAGCAGCTAAGCCTTGGTTCACTTAGGCAAGGGTCTGTCAGCCCTGGGGAGGCTCTCGCATGGAGAGTCTTATGTGCAGTTCCTGGAGAAGAAGGGAGAATCATGCTCGCAGGGGGAAAAGATTTTGAAACTACCATATGTTACCTGAGCCGTGGGGTCTGTTCTCCTTTGCTTCAGTTGTACATGACCAGGTTCATCCACTGAAAAATAAGCATAATCATCACAATTCTTTACACCTGCTGGCTTAATACAGAGCAGGGCAAACGCAACCCTCCTCCCTCGACCCTCCTCCCTCAGAAGACCTCAGTCCAGTCTCATCACCCCTTCCAGCTAATTCCAACCCAAGTGGTGTGCAGGGAGGTCTCACAGCACATCCTCTGCTACTCCCTGAATAGCCAGGCAGAGTGAGACGTATATCTGAGGTCGACCAGCTGGCTGGTCAGGGCCTCTAAAGCTCAATGGGAATACGTTTAATGTACAGCGAGCTCAGCGGGCTGTCCTTCTGTTCCCTCCTGGATTTATGACTCCTACATAATCCTCTGCTTTATTAAGCTATTGGAAAAAAATAAAACCTGTCTGCCAAGATCCTAAAGCAGCCTGGCGGCCAGCAATATATAAGGCAGTAATTGGAGGTGGGGGAGACAGCTTGGCTGGCCTTTGACAGAGTGTTCAATATCCTCAGGGAGAAAAATGCCCCCTGGAATCAATATCCTCGGGGATAAAAATGCCCCTGGGGAGGGGAAGTCACCCTCACCTCCATTTCCGTCAGGTAGAGTCCTTTTCCATCCTTGGAGAGGTTGCGGAAAGTCTCTAGGGTAAAGAAGGGAAGGTTCTGATTGACTGAGGAGGAGGGAATCTGGGCAGCTCAGGGGAGGTGGGCCTGGGCCCATAAGGAGCTAAAGGCACAGGAGGTGGTTCTGTAAAGCAGCCCTGATGCCCCACGGCGTGTGCCTGTTGGCCGTCCTCATCCCTGTCCAGCTGAGCTCTGCACGGGGTGGGTGGCTCGGGGCTGACCTCTTCAGAGGGGCTCTGCGCCTGCTCCGCCCACACGCCCCTCCCTCTCCTGGCTTCTTGGCGCTCCACGCCCCTGCATCCATCCACACGCGGCCCTGGGGATGCGAAGGCTTGCCATTCTTTCAGTGCTGCAATTTGGGTTCCTCCCTCGTGCAACCAACTGAGAACTGTGTGGGGGCCAAGGCTTGTGCCTCGACTTCTCTTTTACCCTCCAGAGCCCTAGCCTCTCAATCCTTCTGCCCAGCTCAGAGCTGCAGGGTTTGCAGTGGTGCCTCGTGGCAGGGCAGTGAGAGGAATATGAGTGGTGAGGGGTCTGGCCTCTCTCCCGCAATCACAGCTGCCCCACTATGGCCTGGGGTCTTACACTAGATTTCATTAAAAACAAAGGGTCACGCTGCTAAAACGTGTGGCAACCTCGGCCCACACAGTTAGATTTCTGAAGCCTGGGGAGGGGCCTCCTGCCCCCACTTATTCACTTGTGTGTGACATTCCTTCAGCAAAGACCAAAATCCTTCCTTACATAACTGAAGAGCAGGTTTCCATGATAAACACAACCTGGAGATGGGGACAGCCTGATTTCAATTAGCCTTGTTCCTGAGAGAGGAGCTGAGCGGGGTGATGAGGAAAAGAGACTGGGGGTGGGGAACAGCAGCGGAGAGGGGGTGCAGAGGGAGCTGGTCACACCATCTGCAGCCTTAGTTGGCACCTCATGCAGGCTGCCAGCCTACCCTGCTGCTGAGGCCTCACACAGGCCTGGCGTGGGGTGGGATGGGGAAGGGCATGGCCGGTCCTCTCCTGCGTTCTCCGGTCACTGCCAAGGTCTCTGGGATGCCCCCCCCCCACCCCCTGTGACACTTACTTGCCATGGCTTCAAGCCGCATCAGGAAGCAGACCAGGCTGGGGAAGCTGACCCTACCAAAGCTGTCGCTGTACCTCAGGGTCACCAGATGCAGCACATCGCGGCTGATGAAGATTCCTTTAAGGAATTCTAGGGCCACAGGTGAAAGAGTGAGAGGAGGCTAGGGCTGGGGCTGGGACTTTCCGCTGCCTCTCAAGGTCTGAGAGGCCTGTTCAGAAGGCCCAGCAACCTCCCACCAATCCTCCCACTCAGCCTCCTGCCTTTAGTGTCTTTCTTGTTGGTTGTTGGGCCCCAGGGACCTAATTCTGGAGTCTGGCCAGAGAGCAAGTGAAGACACTGCTCTGGGGACACATCAGCCTTCCCAGTCACCCATCATTCCCACCTAAGGGGAGAGCGGCTGGGACACCCGGGAGTTGCTTCAAGCCCCGCCTCTGTCAAACCTCTCTCTTCTGATGACCTTGACAAACGACCTTCCTCCCCAGCCCTGACTGCAGGTGGGTTGTGTATGGATTCTGCTATTGTAGGTGGGAGTGGTCCCTGGAAGAAGGAGATGCAGTCCTAAGTCCATCCAGGGAAAAGACTGACGCAGAAGGTGGCCTCGGGCAGGAGATTGGCACCTTGTCATCCTGCGCTTCTAGTTATAAGCTCCAGGGAGGCACTGACCTCACAGGGGCCAAGTGCACACTGGTACATAGTCAGGCTTTGCAAGACGTAGCAAGGAGAGCCCTGCAAGCCAAACCATCCATCATGGGGACAAGCCTGGTTGCCTGCGGGCCTCCAGCAGCCAGAGACACACGTGGTTTCTCTAGCGGAGTTAATAAAACATGAACTCGAATACCTTTAGATAGGCCAGGCCCTCTCCTGCTTGCCACGTTCCCAGTCACCTGTTTTCTGAGCTCCACCACCCCTTTCACTTACTTGCCTGGCTGCTGAAGGCTTTTGAGTTGAATTCAAACTATTTTCTATTTTTTTTCTTTTATCATTCTGAAGTCATGAGTGAGGTCTTTTTGAAAGATTTCATCTTTAATATATTCTTAAAGTGTGGCTCCCAGACCAGGGGCATGAGCATCCCCTGGGAGCTTGTTAGAAATGCCAATTCCTGAGCCCCACCCCAGACCTCCTGATCAGAAGTGCAGCAATCTGTGCCTTAACAAGCCCTGAAGGGGATTCGGAGGCAGCTCAGGTTTGAGAATCCCAGCTGTATGTTATGAAGCTTTAAGAGGGAGGATCCAGGCTACCGCTGTGGGTAGCAGTCTGGTCTACCTACCCTGCCTTCAGGCCAGGAGCCATGGGAGGATGGATGATGGAGACTTTCCTTCTAGTGTTAAACCGGGGAAATGTGATTTTTACTTTTTTTAAGGGAAGGTGGTCATTTCCTTGTGCAACCCTTTTGTGATCCGTTTTCCCCACTGGGACCGTGGAAGTAATGATTCTTGCCCTTCCCAGTTCTCAGGGTAGTGGAGACAGTCAAATGAGGTGACGCGAACAGAAGAGCTCGGTGAACCATGAAGCCCTTGCTCACCCTAAGGTATTATTATCATTATCCCAGGACCGAGAGCCTTTGCCTACTTGAGGCAGACAGATGCCATTTGACTTAATTGAGCCCCAAACCCTCTGTGAAGAGAGAGGAGAGAGATCAGCAGCCTGCCTGTGGGTATTTAACCCTGATGGCCCAGATACTGAGCTGGAAGTGCGTCTCCAAGACGAGCTTGATTCCTGGTAGGGCATCAATCACACAGTGGCTATTTTCTCACAATTAGAGCTATGCTAGGGAGGAAAGGCAGCTGGGAAAATTGACTGGCACATGAGAACTCAGCCAGGGGCAACTATGCCTGAGTCTGCAACTCTAGAGGCCCCCCAGGGTCAGTGTAAACTGGGGAGGACACAGGGGCTGTGGCACATCCCTTCCTGATTGCCTGGCATTGCTGTGCCAGCCTTGCTTCTAGGGGAGTGGGCATCACACCCACCCCCGGCCCCCAGGCACCACAGCTCCAAGGTCCCCATTGTACCTGTATTCTCTATGGCCTTCTCCAAGTCCGAGCTTAGGAGGACTCCAGGGCTTGTCTGAACCTTCTGGAAAACATGCTAACAGGGGAAGAGAAGCAAGAAGTTTGTGTGAAGATGGGGAAGTTCCTGGATATCCTTTTACTATCCCGGGAGGTTGCTTCCCTAAACCTCAGAGGAAGGCATGGTCTCAGCACTGAGGACTGGGAGGACAGAGTGGCCACACCTAGTGAACTGACCCTCCTGGCTGCCCACCAAGGGGCTGTGGCTTCTCTCACCCATGCTCCTTTCTCTTCTGCATCCCTAGGCTGAGCTCTGACACATGGGGCAGTTTTCTGCTTTCGAGGGGAGTGTAGGGCTCTCTAAAGAGATTGCCTAGGGTAGTGGTTAAGAGCACACGCTTTACAACCAAACTGCTAGGGTTTAAATCATGGACTATTTACTGGCTGTATACCTTGGGCCACGACTTCATCTTACTATGCCTCAGTTTCCTCATCTGTAGCATAGGGCTGATTACAGTGCCTACCTCATAGGTTTGTGGCAGGGAGTAAATGACCAAATATTTATAAAGTGCTTGGGAGAGTGCTTTGCACATTAGTGAATGCTCTGTAACTGAAAGTAGGTTAGAATTGCATCCTGGAGCCCAGCACAGGGGCAGAAGCTGGTCACTGGAACAGAGTGCTTTTGTATAGGGTGGCTGTTGCCTCTACCCAGGTCTTTTCAACCTCTACCTAATTCTCCTTATGATCCTGATCAACATCATATTTCACAGACGAGAACACTGATGCTCAGGCAGGGAGCACCTGGCCTTGGATTGGGTGTGTAAGTGCCACAGGACTGAGCTCATTTGGGTCTATGCCTAGCTGTCCCCAGGAGCTACTCCAAAGCAAAGTACCCACACGCAGGCATGTGACTGAGGCCAACTGTAAGAGGCAACTGTTGCAAAATAGCAGCTGGACAATCTTTTGGGGACCTTATTTGGCTTTTGGTGAGTGCAAGGACAGACCTAGAGTGTTCTCAGTCAGGCAGTCACTTGCTCTTTCAGATTCTCTTAATAATAATTTGGTCAATTATTCAGCATTTCTGAACCCCTGCTGTTTTAGACACTACAGGGGTGCTGGAGAAGAGTGGATATGAGAGAACCCTTGCTCACAATCTCATAGGGGAGCAGACATACTGGCCATTGCAGTGCCCTGCAATGAAATGAGAAACCAGGTGGCCCCTAGTCAGGGTCAGGAGATGTATACTGAAATAGCCACACAGGAACACTCTTGTTTTTTCAGCCTTTAGGCATGTTATGAAAGTATTTAGTGGCATGGCTAGACAGTCAATGTATTTATTGGCATTTATTAGTTTTTAAAAACAGATTATACTTCTATCTGGCATGTGTGGATGCATGCTACAAGAGAAATTCTGAAGCATGTTCACTAGGTGTTCATGGTCTCTCTTGGGTTGGCAAGATCATGTCTTCTAAGTTTATTTTGCCCATCTATATTTTCTGTTTTTCTGCTAAGACAGGTATTGCTTTCCTAATGTGATGTTGTTGATAAGTACAAGATGATGTGACAACACACTGTGGCTGGCCCTGACAGATACGGGTTCAAGTGTTATAGGCCGGAGGGGCACTCGCGGGGTCACAAGGTCCAGCAGAGCCCCCAGGGAAGGTGTGGTAGAGGTTGGACTCTCAGGGTGGGTGGGCACTGGCCAGTCTCAGGGAGGGGGGAGATGGGAGGGCCAGACTGAAGGGGCAGAGGTGTGACATTTACAGGAAATAGTGAGGTATCTCATACTGGAGTCTAAAGGAGAGGGTTCGATGAATGGAAAGGGCTTCTCCTGGGCCCCAAATAGGGATCCACTCAGAGGGTCTTGTGTGCCACCCTGAGGGTTTAGACTTTGTCCTAGGAACAGTGGGGAGGCCACACTGAGACCTCAGGCCACATCTGTGTTTTTGACAGATCCTCTGGCAGATGGATTGGATGGGAATAAGATAAGTTAGCAGGTGTTGCAGTGGATGGAGAGGTGGGGAGAGGCTAGTGGGCAGCTTTAGCTTACAGGGACAGCATTCTCCTCCCACCTCCGAAGCATCCCTCATCCTGACACCTAATCGGGCATTGCCTTATGCCTTCTAGAGTTGCACGTACGTCTCCCCAGACATGTGGGCTCTCCTTGAGGGCAGGGATGAGGTTTCCTCTTCTTTCATACACCTGAACCCTGGTGCAGGGTTAGACACCCAGGAAATCCTTGCTAACTGGATGGAATGAGAGTGCTAGTCACAGAGACTGTGCCTATACCTGGTAGTGGACGAGGCGCTCCCACAGTCGAGCGAACTCCTGTTGGTCCAGCCGCCCATTCACTTTCAGCTGGGTAAGGAGTTAAGAGTGAACCAGCCAGTGTGCAAGGTGCGCAGAGGGGCTGTGTCCTGCCAACGATCACTAGCAACACAGTTGGTCCAGCATCACCTAGACGTGGCCCCATGCCAGCTGGCTTCCACTGTGTCTGAAAGGGACCTGGCTTAGATATGTTTTACAGAGTAAAATGAGTGCTTGGAAGAAGGAAGCCCCGAGGAAAAGAGGCCAATATCACTTGCATCCGAGGGAAGAGAGGGGTCTAGAACACAGCCTCCACCAGTTGGAGTGGGCACTCTGACTCTGGAGGTTGGGGAGGAGCACGAAGGAGTCTTGGCAACCACAGAAGCAGTGGCCACAGGTGAGCATGTAGAGCTCTGTGTGCTTAAGTGCAGAGGGAACACATCCCGTGGGCATGTTAAAGCCAGCCTTGGCTGCTCCGTATGATGGGTTCAGTGATGACTAATGAAGGGAAAAGTATTAACCTCTGAGAATTGGAAGGGGAGCCAGCGAGTGAGTAGGAAGGAGGCTGAAAGAGGCCTGTCTGCTTTGCAGGGGTCCAGCAAACATGACCTCCCCTGGGATTACCCACCTCGGGCCATGGGACTGTGAGGACCATTTGGATTCCTCTGTGGGAGATGGGCAATGTCTCTGATGGATTCTAAACCACAGCCAGCAGAGACAGGGCCTGATTTATGATTTCATCAAAAAGCCCTCTTGTTCTACAATGGCCGGCTTCACAGTTCCAGTTGAGCCTTGTCAGCAGTGTGGGAGTGGGGCAATGTGTCTCGGCGACAGCACACTGCTGAGTGAAGGGCTGGTAGGGCAGCATCTGGGGGTCCACACTCGTGGAGTCAGCCTCTCCTGCCTGCCAAGAGAGGGGTGCACAGGAGGAGGATGGCTCACTGGGGGGTGGAAATCGGGAGGAGGGGCAGAAACCTGGGGTTCTATTACTGGTCCTGCAGTTATAGCCACGTGCCTGGAGTGAGTCCCTGAACTGCCTCCACCCAGCCTCTCCTGCTGCAAACGCAGCATGGTAACAGTGATGGGGTGGAACTGCTGTGTAGACCAGGTAGTTTTCTAGGTTTTGGTGGTAGTTATCTTGATTTAAGTGGGGACATGTTGAGTAAGATATTTAAATAATGGAGACTCCTCCAGTAGGAAGGCAATGGGTGAAAGGGAAAATAGTTCCCCTTGGTGCCATAACGGGGTGGTTTAGGATAAGGTTAGAGCATGGACTTTGGAGGCTGAAAGCTCCGACTTCAAATCTGGGCATGAGTCCCGACTAGCTGTGTGATCTGGGCAAATTACTTAACCTCTCTGAACTCCTGCTTCTTCCACTGTATAATGAGATGATACTTTTTGTATCAGAGGGGTTGCTTCAAGAATTGTAGGAGACATACACACACAGAAGTACACCAATCGGCACAGAGTAGGTGCTTGATAGACGGTAACTATTGTCATTGTTGCTGCGGAGCATTGGTGAGTTAGTAGAGAATTCCAAGAAACTCAGGGACAAGGAAGAAGAGAAAATATTGAGAGTGAGAAAAGGGTTCCCTACTGTCCTAATTAAGTCCCCGGGAAGCCCACAGAGCAGAGGGGAGCTCAGAGCATGGGAAGGATGACCGCAAAGGATACTTCCATCAGAGCCACCAGGCTGCGGCACTCATCCAAGGAGAATGTGTCCTCTGGAGGGCCTGAGTAGAGAAGCACAGGAAGGACTGGAGTGTTGAAATGGGGAGGAGGATGGGGCCAGCTTGCCCTTGGGCTGCTCTTACCTATCAGAAGCTCCTGGTTGAGAAGGCTGTGGAGCTGGGTGGCATCAATGTCCAGCCTCTGATCAAACAAGGAAGGAATGCAGGAATTATTATCAGTCCCAGGATCTGAGAGGCACATCTGTCTGCCTGTAAAAGCACTCAGATTTCCAAGCACTTAGTCCCCACAACATATCCATATTACCTTCATCACGAAGGCTTACCTGACGGCTCCCAGCCATGGTAGTGACTCCCTCCCCTGGACATCCATTGTGCTGGTCACTCCTGATGCTTGACCCTTGGTGTGGGTGACACTGCATTTCTCTTTTTATCCATTACTGGACTGAAAGCAGTGTTTGCTTCCTCCCCACCCTCCCTGGCACTTGGGAGCCTCTCAGCGTAAGGATTGTTGAATGAATCAACTCAGCCCTTCAGATGTACTCCCCATCTGCTTCCAGGAAGACACTAGAAAAAGTATGACGACTGTGTGCATGGGTATATGTGTACGTGTGTGATAATAGGAGTTAAAAATACCAGAGATGTGGGTTGAGAGAAATCGCTATCATCGAGCACATTACTTAGCATTAATTTTTCCAGCCACTGAAGCAAAAAGGGAGACATCATGGTTTTCTTTGGATTAAGAGCAGGAAGCAATTGAGGTTGGGAGGGAGGAACTCTTCCTAGCCTCAACTTCTAGGGCAGTTAACTGTATTTGATTCAGTTTTATACTGGGGGCATCCAGCAGGTTGACAGGCAGTGTCTTTATGACAATTTCACAGAGATGTGGAGCTGTTCTATATGCGGCTGTTCCTCACATCCAGCCCGGGGAGGACAGAGGGGATGGTATGCTGCTATCACCCTGGGAAAGCATTTTCATGGGGAGCTGGCACTGGAGAGAGTTATCAGCAGGTGGCCCTGTAGAGTCGCACTGGTCAGGTGGAAGAGGGTGCCTCCTGGGGGGTCTTCTGAGAATCAGCACCTTCCGTCTCCCAGGATTGGCCTTACCACCTTGAACTGGAAGCACAAGCAGCACCAGAGTCTGTCCTGATGGGGTCCTCATCTAGAAGGATGACCCCTCAGGGTACCCTTGAGGAGAATATCCTGCTAGTGTCTGAAAATGGTCCTCGGGTCATTTCTCCAACATCTCAAACTTTGGGTTGTATCAGGAAAGTTGCTGCGTGCCTACTACAACTGAGTTTCTTTTAAAAACTCAGGACACCTCGCTTTGAATAGCAGTTAGTATGCTAATGAGGAGCTCCAACTTCCATGAAATCATCCACTAGGTTATAAACAGCTTTGGGGCATGAACCATATCTCTTTCCTCCTCCATATTCCGTGCGAGGACAGAGCTTGCCCTGGGTCTGGCACTCCATAACCAACCAAAAGGGTTTGAGGAGATGAGGGTGGGAATGAAGGTGAGGGTTGCTGAAACAATCTAAAAAATTGCATGTTTGCCTCGGCCACCACAATTCAAGATCCCCAAAAGCGATTCCTTGGCATTCCCCAAGCTTAGTGTGGCACTTGGAATGTCCGGGTCCTAGGTAAATGCTGGCTACTTGGTGGGTAGAGCTGGCCCGTCTCAGAGTCTAAGTGCGTCCTTCACTTCCCGCAGGTGGACCCTGGGTTATAGCGCTACCACCACCACCACGGTGAGTGCAGGGGACTAGTGCTAGTGGCAAGTCACTGTATTAGTTTAAATCTAGTTAAAGTGATAGAAAAGGTCAGAAGAGAGGCCACAGTGAGTGTGTGGGGGAATATTTTGCTTTAAACTTTCTCTGGAGGACACAGACCCTGAGGATAACTTGTAGGACGTACAGAATAATGCCAGTGGGCCCCCTGCTCAAGAGTGCCCAGCTGAGAGTTGAAAGGGGGCTGGAATTCATTCTCTGTTTTGCTTCCCAGCCATGTACCTGGCAGAATGCCACATCAGGGTCTTATTCTAATTCCCACGAAGGCCCCATATGGGCCACCAGTCACCCTCTGTGAGGAGGCATTTGGCTGTTGTTTGGAAAAGTCCTGATCAGAAAATCTGTCCCATCTTCACATATGACAAACATTTTTATTTTAGAGGTGCAGGTGCATGGGCTGTGTGTGAGCATTTGCCACCTGCCACTGAAGAAAGCTTGGTCTCAGGCATCCTAATCAGGCCCTGCTAACCACCTTGGGGCAGCTAACCTTCACTCAGGCATCTGCTCTGGGGGAGGTGATCTGTCTTAATTCAACAGACATGATTGAGCACCTCTTCATGCCAAGGACAGTGATCAGTATTGGGAACAACAAGAAATGCCTGTGATATCATCCCTGCCTTTGGGAGCTTGCAGACTGAGGATGGTCATCTTGGCTGGCCTTGTCATGCCCTGAGTGAAGTGCTTCCTGAATCAGCCCGGATGGTGGACCTGGATCCTGGGCTGGTACTGACTTCATGGAGATCTGTGTACCTGTGTTCAGCTGCTCTTTGCAACACATGCCCCTCGTTCCAGCCACATTCTTCTTCTTTTTTTTTTTTTTTTTTTGAGGCAGAGTTTTGCTCTGTCGCCAGTCACCAGGCTGGAGTGCAGTGGCGTGATCTTGGCTCACTGCAACCTCCCCCTCCGGGTTCATGCAATTCTCCCACCTCACCTTCCCAAGTAGCTGGGACTACAGGCACGCACCACCACACCCAGCTAATTTTTGTATTTTTTAGTAGAGACGGGGTTTCACCATGTTGACAGGGATGGTCTCAATCTCTTGACCTCGTGATCCACCCGCCTCAGCCTCCCAAAGTGCTGGGATTACAGACATGAGCGACTGTGCCCGGCCTACTCATTTTTTCCTACTTTGGCCCAGGCTGCTTATGGGTGACTGCTGCCCCATGGCATCCTTCCTGTCCTTGGCCTCTTCCTGGTTCAAGCTGGCAGTGTATAGATCATCATCAGTATCACTTTCCACTTTCCACACCAACCCAGTGATTAACGGTAAGAGGCCCATTGTGCAGAGCCCCTGGCAGCTGTTTTCTTCTGACAAGTCAAGGAGTTCTTTATAACAGTTTATTAAGCCATTAAGAAAATCCTGTGTGCACATAGGTGGCTTGGCAGCAAGGATGCTGTATGTGCTGTCTGAAGCTGGCTAGCTCTTGAAAGGAACGATGCCAGCTTGGTGGGAGGTGGCCGAGTAGGACAAGGAAAGGTTTCAAGGGGGACTGCCAATTGCTTGTTTAAAGATTTAGAAGGCAATATACCTCACACCCCATAATTATCCCCTCCCTTTCTAAGCTCTATATTCCATCTTGATGTCACCCAGATGACACTGGGTGGGGTGCCACGTCTCTACAGAACTTGGCAGCCAGAGTAGATCTGGAGATGATCCAGAAAGAGAGGCAGATAAAATAATCCATCAAGTCACTTCTCCTCTCTGCATCCTGATAAGGGCCAGTGAGAGCTGTCCCTCCCTCAGGCCCTCTATCTCCGCTCCTGCGTAAGGGCCCTGGGTGCTAGGTACCATACCTGCTGAGCGAATCTGTAGAAAATGCTTTCTTGGGAGCCATGTTCTGAAGGACTTCCCTGGATCAAAGGGAAAATAGCTGATGTTAGACTTCTGGGGAAGGAGGAAGCCATCTAGTAGAGCAAGGGCGCAACAACCCCTGCCAAGGTCTGAAAAAGGTTTTATCTGGCAGTTGGAAAAAGCCTTCTGGGGAATGAGAGAACTGAAGTTTGTAGAAGGGAGAGGAATGGGTTGAGCCTGGCCTTGGAGGCCTGGTCCTCTCCCCCTACCCTACCCCTTTGAGCTATCATTGGCCTGTCATGGTGTCTCTCTTTTCACTGGTCGGTGGGGAAGCGGGGCAAAGAAGGAGACGAAAGCTCTTGGGGATGGGATGCGGCCAATAAGGCTGGCCAGCCAAACCTTGCTGCATACCTACCTTCAGGCTGCGGTTGAAATGGCTGCTCAGGTGCCTAGAAAATCAGAGGACAGTTTGACAAGTTACAGCACTGTGGCCACAAGCCCAGCCTTTTGGCTGGACATAGTAGGGTCTTTAACTGTTTAGTATATGGTTCCTTCCACAACCAGATATACACGTCCAGCAACCCCCATTGCCAGAATGGCAGATAAGCTCTGTGTTAGGTTCCATCCCTGATTGGTGGTATAATGGCAGCCTGGCATGATGGACTGAGAAGGTCTCACCCACGCTCAGCTAGGAAGATGGCCATGATGATGGCGACGTCTGCCTCAGGCCCAAGAGGAGACAAGGAGCCCAGTGGGGATGAGCACCTGTTGGTCCCAGTCTTGAACAATTAAGTTGGCATGCAAGACCCTCTGTGATGGACTCTTTCTTTCAGGCCCATCTTTCACTGTCTCCGTGCTACACGCCACATTCCAGGCCGTGTGAATGCTGGCCATGTACACCTTCCTGTGGAGATGCCGATGCTACTTATTCTCCAAGCAGCCCTGTGCACAGCCACTTCCCTGTTGCCATTCATGCTTTTTTCTTCTACCTACCTTCCCATGGTCACCACTGCCTTCCCTTTTAAACATTTTTTTTTTTTTTGAGACAGAATTTAGCTGTTGTTGCCCAGGCTGGAGTGCAATGGCATGATCTTGGCTCACTGCAACCTCCACCTCCTGGATTCAAGCAATTCACCTGCCTCAAACTCCCGAGCAGCTAAGATTACAGGCATGTGCTACCATACCCAGCTAATTTTGTATTTTTAGTAGAGACATGGTTTCTACATGTTGGTTAGGTTGGTCTCAAACTCCCAACCTCAGGTCATCCCTGCCTTGGCCTCCCAAAGTGCTGGGATTACAGGCATAAGCTACTGCACCAGCCCCCTTGTAAACTATTAAATTATATTTTTCTTCAAAGGCCGGCTCAAGTGCCATTTCCCTCAAGAAGGCTTCCTCAGTCCCTCCTGCCACTCAGTCCTCCCGTGCCACTTTGCGTTTCCATCTGGCATGGCCCCATCCTGTTTGTAGGCTGATTCTTGGTTCATAGACTTCCTTGCCCCCGCCTCCACTCTACAGCAGGACCCATATCATATCCCCAGTGACATAGCACGTGATGCACGAATGCACAGAGCCCTGCCCATAATGACACAATGTGTTTTTATAAAGGTAAGTAGAAGAAAACATTCAGAATCCCAGAGGGTTCCATACCTGCCTCTGTTCGGCATTTTCAGGAAGATTCGCAGCAAGAACTCCACTGATTTTCTCTGGGTTTGTACAGCCACAACATAGTTCCCAGGGATCAGCTGGTAGGTTCTGGTGAAGTTGCGGTGGAATTTTTTATTTGAGTCTCGGACTTGGACAGCATTTCCAAATGGGGAAAAAAACATGGGTGGAAGTTTCTCCTGGAACCACTGGATCAAGACGAAACACAATTATTGTGAGAAAGCCTCCTCAGTGCATGAACCCCAGGCATCAAGGGAGACTCACCACCTTCCAGACCCTCTCCATTCACCAAGTTAACATTACAGGCTGTGCAAATGGAGACCGTGCTCAGCTGAACTCTCAAAAAGCAGTAGAGTTTAGACTGTCATTTCTTCTAGACCCTGGATACTACAATGAATGCAAAGAAATGCTACACACAGTTTTATCTCAGTAAGTCTAACTGCATCTTGGGTTTCTGAGTTTTCTTTCCCTGCTTATGTAGAAAGAAAACTTCCATGGAAACTGGTGACATCATTTCAACACTGATTTTCTTCTGGGGTCTTGAAAGCCCCTTCTCCCCTGAATGTTTAGCAAAGTGCTTTGGACTGCTATACTATTACAGAATTGAATTCTTTGCACTCCCTCTGTTTCATCTCTCCAGTGAAGGCCCAAGATTTCTTCTCATTGGAGAATAATGGGCCCTGATCATTTTCCTTTTATTTCAATATTTTCTTAGAGATAAAACAATAAATATAATGCAGTTCCTATTACCAGATGTCACATACATATTATATAATAAAACCCCCTTGCTAAACAAATTTTCCCCACTACAGTCAAGCATAGGGATTCCATTTAGAATGGTTATGCAGCAGGAAATGATTATTTATGAGCTATGCCTGGCAGGGAAAACAGGAAAGGGGGAAGTTTCTATTCAGGGGTAGGGACAGGGCTGGGCTCCCAGGTGAAACAGGAGATAGGCCACTGCCCCAGGGGTATGGCAGGGTGACGTTTCCAGTGCGATTCTGCTGACATTAACAGCAGCATCAGCAGGTTTGGGATCCTGACTTGCTTGGACCCTTATGGCAAAAGCAATGATGGAATGAGCTCTTCTCCAGAGTCAGCAGTGTCGCGTGGCTCTGGGCATGGGTGAGTGTGCACGCATGTGTGGGTGCACGGAGAGGCAGTGGGCATGCAGAGGTGTGTGGGCAGCATGCCTCCTACAATTAGAAGGCAAGGGCCTCCCTGCTTACCCGTTATCCTGTCCTGCTCCCTCTGTTGGCCCCTCATAGCCCTGTCCAGGCTCCTGATCCTTCAGAACAGACTTGCTCAGTGGCAATGAGAAGTGTGAGCGTGGGGGAACAATGGCGGCAGTTCTTGGTCCACTGCTGAGTACCCAGCATCAACAAACCACAAAGCAGGGCTGGTCATGCACAGACCTGACTCTGTAGTTCCAGGGATGGGACCTGTGCTTTTTCCTGGATTAAGTGCCAGCCTGTTCTCCAGCTCTGGGACCTGAGATGCTGATGGCTTCTTGCACCTGAGTGTTTCTCTCAATGCCCATCCCAACCCTCCATTTCACGGGTGGGATGTCAGGGACCAGAGTCAGATCCTGACCCCAGCTCTGTGGCTGGGCCACCACTGTCACAGACAGGCTCCCCTGGAAGGACTGGAGGTGCTGTAGTCACTCTTTGTTGTCTGTGGCCACATCCTGCTCCCCTCTTTCATCTGTGGTCCCTGGGAAGATGCACCTCCCTTTTGGTGGCTCAGAAGTCTCAGCCGTGGGCAGAGGGGTGGGTCTGAGTGCCTGTGAGGACAGGTATTCCAGACTCCATCTTCCTTCTCCATCTTTCCTCATATGGGTAAGTCACTTTTCACCAATCCTGAGCCAGGTGATCTGTTTAGGAGGGCAGCAGTTTCTTGCAAGAGGGGCTCAAGGATGTACCTTGAAGCTGCATTTGGATATCATGCATCCTACTTATGGTGAATTTGGAGACTGGCTACTTTAGGAGACTGAAGATCTTTCCAATGTACCCCTTAGTGCTGCTCTCATATTAAATAAAAAGAAACCAGCTCTATCAATCTTATCTATCAGGAGCACGTGCCTGAGGATGGTCTCACTAGAATGTTAAGAAGAGAACAGTCGGCCGGGCGCGGTGGCTCAAGCCTGTAATCCCAGCACTTTGGGAGGCCGAGGCGGGTGGATCACAAGGTCAAGAGATCGAGACCATCCTGGTCAACATGGTGAAACCCCGTCTCTACTAAAAATACAAAAAAGTAGCTGGGCATGGTGGAGCGTGCCTTTAATCCCAGCTACTCAGGAGGCTGAGGCAGGAGAATTGCCTGAACCCAGGAGGCGGAGGTTGCAATGAGCCGAGATCGCACCATTGCACTCCAGCCTGGGTAACAAGAGCGAAATTCCGTCTCAAAAAAAAAAAAAAAAAAAAAAAAGAAGAGAACAGCCCAAAGGGTCTAAGCTTCAGACCAGCACAGCCAAATATTATCCTGCTTTGTGAACCTGTTTAGGGATTCTAGACCTGTGTCTGATGTAAGACTTAGTGAGACTGAATTTGCAGCCACTGAACACATGGAGGCCACGAGCATTGGAAGAGGCCTAACACTTCGCCAACGGACAGCAGCGGAGGCGCGGGGCAAGGGCGGTGTGGAGCCATACCTGCGAGCCAGCCTGTTGGAAACAAAGGCAGATTTAGGAACTCAAACCCAAACAAAAAGACACTGGCTCACTGGTTTCATCCCTGCATTCCTCCTCCTTTTCTTCCTCTCTTTAAAAACATTTATTTTATAACTATTATGCCACAAAGCATGTTTTAAACACTGATATATCACTGTCTAATAAGATGAAGTAAACACAAAAGACGTCTTTCTTATTAGAAACAAGATACACCATCCCTTAGAGTCTTCTAACACTATTGCTCTCTAACTTTCGTGATTCAACCAAGCATTCATGGACCAATCTCCAGACTAGTTTTAACAGACACATAACAGCTGTAAGCAGACATGACTGTTCTAAACGTATTAGGTATGAATTTTACAAACTTTATCTATATCTGTGATAACAAAGGCGCTGGAGAATGTTGCACCTTCTCTAAGTTGCATGGTGAGAATCACCAATAGTGTGGTAGAACTTACAGCCCTTTCCAAGGCCATGGCTCTTACAGCCTGAAGGTGTGAGCCCATGTATCTCCCCATGCTGTGGACTGATCTGGTGATCCACTAGGTATTAAGATTTCCTCTGACAGCTTTATGTAATGGATCAATGAGAACCTCAAAACATTTGTTCATGGAACATGTTCCTCCTCCTTGTGTGGCCTGCCTGTTCCCTGGCACACCTAGGGGTGAACTGGGATGACTGGTTACTCATTCTCTGTGTGGGGTTGTAAAAAGTGAAACCCACTCAGTTGCAGAGAACAGCAAGAGAAGGGAAACTGAGGCAGAAAAGGTGTCTGAGAGGAGGAGGTGTTCTTTGGTCGGCCCAGCAAGGTGTAGATACTTTTCACAGCAATGATGATCACATTGGAATGAAGGGGGAGATTTTGACACGGCCTGCAGCTAGCATAGAACCTGGTGCAGATGTAAACTCCCTACCATAGGGAGCATCCCTGAGAAGTCAACTTATTTTATTTCATCAGACCACTGTTAATAGATGGGAATTTGTTCTTGCACCCCCACCCCCATGCTTGTAGGAATGTACATGTGCCTATGAATGGGGGGATACCCATGTTCCAGTCTTTTCATGTAGAAGGAATACCTGAGCATGCAGTTCCATTGTAAGCCTCTTTACAGTTTGCAAAGCACTTTTATGTAATGTGTTGGATATTCACAATAATCATACAAGCTGATGCTGGGCTCCCTATTTTATGGGTGTAGAAACTGAGGCTCAGCAGTTTAAGAAGCAGAGTTGGGAGCAGGGCAAGCTGTGCTGCTTGCTTTGTAATCAAGCCCGGCCACCCCCAGGTGATGTCTTCCTTAGTTGGCTTGGGTTTTGATCCTTTTCCACTGTTGACCCTGGGCCCCACCCATGTGTACAGACCTCTCAGTTTTCCGAGGCTGACTTCTCTGGAGGCCAAGGGTGAGCTGGGAGGAAGGTGGAAAGTCCAGGCCTTGGGGAGAAACTCTGGGGGAGGTGGGGATGAAATGGCTTGTCCACCCTCATCCTTTTCACTGTCATGTCTTCTCCTTGCCTATTCATATCCCATCTGATTTGGTGGACTGATTTGGTGATCAAATACCCCATTGGGGGTCTGTCTGGCTGGACATAAAGCAGAGCAGTGCTCCTACAGCAACTGGGGAGTCACAGGCTCATGCCAGAGCTGGAACATCATCATAGCATCAAGTCAGCACTGGAGCCATAGATACCATGTGAGCCCTGGAGCCTTCTGAGCGCCTGACTGCTGGCAGGTACATAGCTGTTTTTCAGCTGCACTGGGAAACAACTCAAGTGCCATTTGAGTTGTCCAGATCTGAACTGTTCTTTGGTGTTTAACTCAACCAGGATCTTGCAAGATCTGCTGGGATCTCCAGGAAGCCTGAGGAGCTCTTGGGGCTGAGCGTTCCTTCAGCAAATTGGGGAATGGTGAGAAGTAACACATCTCTGGCAGCAAAGTAGGGAAGTGGGCTTGATATCATTTTAAAATGTTGTGGTTACAATCTAGGTAGAGTTCCTGAATGGTGAAGACTTTGGGCGAATCAATACCATGCCCCTGATCACCGTGTAAGCAGAGCCTCAGAAGTGGTATGCGTGTTGGGGTAGCTCTGATCCCTCTCTGGGTTTCTGTTTTGGCTCAGAAAAGGGCAGCATTGGTCGAGATGTTTTTGGTGGCCTCTTTGGTGCTTGAGCTGGTCAATCCTGGTTGGGCAGACTGGGGGCCTCAGTTCCTTCTCATCCTTTCCCAGATCTTTGCCTCTGCCTCCAGCCTTTTCTTCCCAGAGAATCCAAAGCTGGAGAATCTGAGAATGAGGGCCCTCTTAGAAGGCACCTGAGTCAGCAGGAATTCTGATCAGAAAGCCGTGGAAACTAACTCAGGCTGGGGTGGGCTGAAAGATGCTTCTTGGAAGAACAGCTCACAGGTTGCTAGAAAATACAGCCCAGAGGTGGGCAGGGGCCAGACAAAATGGATATACAGCAAATAATCCTCAGTCATTCCACCTGTTTTAGTTATTTTCTCATGTGTCAAGGCTCTGAGTGACTGAGTGTGTGTGTGAAGGGATTAGGGGGTTAGGGGAATGAAGGGATCATCTAATTGGGCAAGCCAGGGTCACAGGTCTACAACTTTTGCATCCAAGAGCTTGGCTCAGGGAATATTTGGCTTCTTTATCTGCTTGCAGTAGGAGGCTGGGCTATGCGTCCTACCAGGATTCCCCTAATGTGGAAAAGGTGTTCAGGTACCGAGTGATGACGAAAATGACAACAGTGTTCTATTATATACTTAAGAGATGTCCTTTGATAGCATCAGCAGTTTTGAGGCACCTCAAAATTACTGTGTTAAACCCCAGAAATTTCTCTCCACCAAATTCCTGAAATTTGAAATCAAAACATGGTCAAGGAAAGCAGAACACAAAAGCTCTCCTTCTGCTAGAGCCAGAATCTCTGTGGTTTTGGGGCCGACAGAATCACCAGAAAGGCATGCACCAAGCCCTACTGAGAGCCCTGGACCTGAGACCCTAAGTCCTGGGATCAAGCACTCCTGTCACCTCTGAGGTGCACCTTGCATAGGGCATTCCTGTCTGGGCTTTAGCTTCTACACCTACAAAATTGAGACTAACTGGGCTTTTGAGACGATGAATGTGAACATGCTTGTACTTCTGAAGTACAGGTTGAGCAACCTTAATCCAAACATCTGAAATCCAAAATGCTCCAAAATCCAAAACTTTCTGAACACCAACATGATACTCAAAGGAAGTGCTCATTGCAGCATTTTGGATTTCGAATTTGGATTAGAGATGCTGAGTCAGTAAGTATATAATGCAAAGATTCCAAAATTCTCCAAATATCAAATGCAAAATACTTCTGGTCCAAAGCATTTCTGATAAGAGAGACATGATCTGTATTCTCTCACTGTGAGGCCCTCTTATTAGTGTGAACCACAGCCAGTGCACAGGACTGTTCAGCCATGACTGGGGTACCCAGGAGCCCTGCCTGTCCATAAACGCACTGAGACCCAAGGCTGTGAATTTTGCCTTCAGCTCAGTGAACAGAAACTGAAATCATTCCTAGAGACACTATATTCCAAGCTCTATCCAAGTCTGTTAAAGGACCTCTGATAGCCCTGGTGCTCAGAAAGGTGACTTGTGTGTTTGACTGAGGTCTTGGGGGACCTCTGGAAGCCAGTCTCAGCTCTGCAATTAACTCTGACCATGTCACTTCACCTTTTGGGGCCTCAGTTTCTTCAACTCTAGTATGAGGAGAGAGGATTCCAGCATGTAATGAATACATGATCTTAATTATCCAAATTAGTGCAAAGAAGCTGTGGAGTTATGATTTGAGAACCTTCACTTTATTTCAGGGATGCATTGAATTGTTTGGGGGGATAGCAGGGAGTAGAGATATCAGATTGTCTTTTGCAGATTTTTTTTTTCTTAAATGTTGTCTGAAAAGTGACTTCCCCTAGGTAGCCCATTACTGGATATATACCCAGAGGAATAGAAAGCATTCTACCATAAAGACACATGCATGTGAATGTTTATTGCAGCACCCTTCACAACAGCTAAGACATGGAATCAACCTAAATGCCCACCAATCACAGACTGAATAAAGAAAATGTGGTACATGCACACCATAAAATACTACGCAGCCACAAAAAGAGCGAGACCATGTTTTTTCTGGGAAACTGGGAGCTGAAAGCTATTATCTTTAACAGACTAATGCAGGAACAGAAAACCAAATATCGCACGTTCTCACTTATAAGTAGGAGCCAAATAATAAGAACTAAGAACACAAAGACAGAAACAACAGATACTGGGGTCTACTTGACCTGGGAGCTGGAAGCTATTATCTTTAAGAAACTAATGCAGGAACAGAAAATCAAATATCGCACGTTCTCACTTATAAGTGGGAGCTAAATAATAAGAACTAAGAACACAAAGAAAGAAACAACAGATACTGGGATCTACTTGAGCGGGAGGGTGGGAGGAGGAAGAGGAGCAGAAAAGATCACTATTGGGTACTGAGCTTAATACCTGGGTAATGAAATAATCTGTACAACAAACTCCCATGACATGTGTTTACCTATGCAACAGACCTTCACGTGTACCCCCAAAACTAAAATAAGAGTTTCATAAAACCATGAAAGGAGAAAGAGCCTAGGAGGACAGGAAACCTGGCCTTGGATGAGTAGCCAAGCAGAAGTTTGCATGCCAGCCACCAAACTATGACTCAACTTTGGTCTAAACGTAAGAGAAAAACGTACCTCCTGGGTTTACACTCAGAATAGTTTAGACAGCTTTTTTTTTTTTTCTAAACAACTTCCAAAAGTTAGCCAATAATTCTCAAACTTTAATGTACATAAGCCTCTGGAGAGCTTGTGAAAATGTAGATTTTCAGGCTGTGTCTTTAAACATTCTGATTCAGAAGGTCTGGAGTAAGCCCAAAATTTGCTTTGTTAGAACAGCTGGTCTTGGCCCAGGCCACTTTTTGAGTAGCAAGCATTAGATTCTGCAGCATCCCAGGAAACGCTAACAAGCAACACAGGCAGGAGGTGAGTTCCGCTGTAATCATGGCTGAGTATCATCTCTCTGGCCTCAGAGTTTTTTGCACATTTAAACTTGGACTGGATGAATGCTACAGCCTCTTTGGGCTTTATCTCCAAGGCTGTGGTGCAGCCAGATCTCCCAGCCTGGACAGAGCTATTCTCCCAAGCTCAAGGTTTACACTGCATTTCTAAAAGGGAAAGCCCTGAAGCAGGCTGTCTTACCTCAATCACTTGGAAACTGAGTGGAGATTTCTTATCTTCTGCCTTCAGATTTGGTGGCGTGACAGCGACTGTGATGCACACGACAACATTGGTGCCTTCCGTTGGCTCTTGCACAGAGAAGTTGTATTGAGCAACTTCAGGTACTCCTGCATTAGAAAAGAGCTGTTACTAGAGATCTGCTCCACTCCTGGGACACCTGGGCAGGGCCATGTCCAGTGCAGAGAGCTCTGGGGGATTGTGTTGTGAACGCTGGATTGGAGACCTAAGCCCTGGGTCCCAATCCCCACAGTTACTAGTTGAGATATGAGTTTATTTTCTAAACCTTGGCTGCCTCCTCTTAAATACAGGAGAGGTTGTATAGTCCCCACTGAGTGAAAAATATTCCTTAAACTGTAAAGTCAAAGGCTATTTTAAGTGAAATTCCAGAGTTCCCAGCTACATGTGAGCTTATGCATTGGTGGTAACCATCAGAGCCTTGAAATGGCATGAGCCACCCAAGCACAGCTGGAGACAGGAAAACAGGCAGAGAGATGCAGTACTCTTCTATCCAACCGTGATTATCAAAGCCAGAACGAGAGAGAGTGAGCTAATGTGAAAGCCATTAGATTCAAATGCATGAAAGAATGAAGATAAGTCAAGATAGAGATGAAAACTCATACACATCGGAAGATTGGGCTGACAATGGGGAATCTCTGCAAGGGGAGTGGGGAGACACAGACGACCATCACAGCATGGGCGTTCTGTGAGGACTGGATAAGATGGTGCATTAAAATGCATCTAGCAGCACATAGCAGGTGCTCGATAGCTGGCTCCCTTTTCTTTTTCCATTGTAAATTATTACTAAAAATGGCCCTGATGTACAGGTTTTGTTAGTTCATTGAAATGCATTGTATCCCGGGGAGAGGGCTTTGGCCCTGTAATCAGAGAGGTGCAGCTCAGGAAGAAGAATCAGTAAATTTGCTGCCCAAGAGTGACTCAGCAGCTCCTGAGGTTCTTCCCAAGGCCTCCCGGTGACAAGGTTCTCTGAGCAGCAGTTCTATAGATCACTAGATCACTAGAGCCTGGGGGTTGAAAGAGGGACACCCTGGGGTATAGGCTCATTCAAGCAAACCATCTCGACAGGCAGGTGCCCAGAGGAAGAGATGCATACACATCCCTGGGTGCACACACACAACAAACACACTCACACTCACAAATGCATGGTTGATGCAGCCTCTTTTATCCAGGATGCATAAGTACACTCTGGTTCCTTGTCACAGGGAACTATTTCACTCATCAATGCCACAACAGGGAATGGGAGGTCCAGGGAGGGAATGTGACTTTCCCGAGGTCATGATCAACAAGATTCATCTCAGGGGAACCCAAAGATGGGCTCAGAGGCACCTACCCGTGGGACTTCAGCAGGAATACACCGACCAAGACAGGGCAAGGATAGTCTCCCTTGTGTCTGGGTGGTACTCTCCAGGTTCAAGGACAGACAACTATGACTAATTTGACTGCTGAATGTTGGGGAGGCTGAGGACAGGATGACCAATTATGTTTCTAGCATCTCAAGGCCAGTATGTGGCAAAGACAAGGGTCTAACCTAGGCCCCAGCTCTTTTCCTGTGTTCTTTCTGCAGCCCTCCCCCTTGCCCTGGACGTTTACTGGAGGGTGGTGAGCCTGCTGTCCTCCCAGGAAGTAGGAAGGGGTTAGTGGAAGGATAGTGGCACAGCATGGAGGGCTGAAGGAGAATCACATCAGAGAGTCTCCTGGCCCCTGCCAGTAATCCCATTACTAGGTATCCTTGGAGGAGCAGTCGCTGTCCCTTCATGCTGACAAACTGCCCTCCTTTCAGCTTTAGGCTTATGGCCCAGAACCAAGGGCCAGAGAGAGCTGAAGCCATGGAAGGGCTGGGCTGGGCAGCCAGCCTCCAGTCAGGCAGTGTGACCACCAGCTTCATCATTACCTGCAGTGTTTCCTAGAATCACTTGCTTCCTAAACATTATTTGGGACCATCCTTCGTGAAGCTTGTTTCCACGGTCCAGGGTGATGGGAATTTGGCTACATACACACATGGTGGAGAATTTCTGCTGGAAATCTTGACATGACATCCTATTAAAAACAGATTATATATCACTCAGTGACCAGTGGTTGTGTCCCCAGGGTGGGGTTTCTATGACTTTACAGCATAGCTACTGTCCTGCCCAGAGACCGATGTCTGATCCGGGCTCATTCACCATCAAGCACCCTCTGTCTTTTCAGTCCTTCTGCTCCAGGGGCTGGGAGGGCAAGGGCACAGTCAAGTTCTGGGGTCTGCCTGTCACCTGGCAGAAGCTTTATCATTAACTGCCATCTCTTTAACCCATTGATGCAACGGTGAGCCCTTGTATGGCCAGTGGGACGACTGCCAGTCTCTGTCTGCTCTGGGTCCTCTAAGATGCTAGGAACATTGCTTTTACCCTAGGGCATTTTGCCAAGTTTATTGTTGAGGTCTTTATCAGCCTAAAATGGATTCCACACCTAAAATCCCACCTCCTACTGTGATTAAACCAGAGATACTGGGCAGGATTTCCTTATACTTTATATTTGTCCCTCTGATTCTTAATTATTTAGATATAGGCTCCTTTCTATACATGCTAATTTTCATTGAAACACATTACTCAGTAAACCAGACAACCCTCTGAGAAATGTACATGTCATGTTCTGAGATGTGATCATATGGCCGAGAATGTGTTTTCAAAACATCTAGTCCTGCGTGACTTCTGGGTGATGAAGTCAAAGTCTCACCCAGAGCTCCAGAGTCTGCATCCTGCTGCTGTTTTTGAGGCCACACTAGACAAAACTGGGGAGCTTGAGGGTCCCAACAAGATGGTACAGAAAATATGGGCATGATAACCATACATACTAGCTTCCAGGAAACCACAGATTTCAAACCTTTGGTGCCAATATTCTCTTGCTACTAAAATGTCCTGGAAAGTTCAGCATTTATTAACCGAAATAACTTTCCCACCAAGAGGGAGCCCACGATAATTTTCCATTCACAGTTTTTGTGTCTTGGTATAGCAAACAGTCTCCCTCTAAACAGTTCTCTGCAAAGCTATTTTCCATCTTAATAAATGTTTAGGGAAAAGGGCAGGGATTGAAGAGTCGGGTAATAGTTAAAGATTTAAAACAGCATGTATAAGAAGGGTAAATACCAAAACTCGCCATCTCTCTGATTCTTATGTAGCTGGCTTTTCCGTGCATCACGGGTTTCCTCCCACTCCTGAGACCTGAGCGTGGAAACACAAACCACAGCGTGAGATTTTCCAGTGTATTTTATCTCAACCATGTGTGGGTCAACAGGGACCCTCTGCACATGCCACGATTAGTTCCTGGGGAGCACATGGCAAGTGTCATTCTACCTAGGACAGGACCCAGTTATTCTCTACATGTTGACAACTTCCAAAGATCTGTCCCCAGCCTGGTCTTCTTTCCTGAGGTTTAGATGGACCTATGCTACAGTCCACCCCACATCACCACTGGCGTCCCATGGTGACCCCAAATCAGCCTGTCCCTGACCGTCGCCATCCTCTGGCACCTCCTATTGCCCGAGCGAGAACATGAGGAGTCCCTCTCTCACACCTCCACATCCAAACAATCATCAAATAGCATTCATTTATTGATCCTACCTCTTAAATCCCCCTCAAAGCCATGTACTTATTTCTATCCCTCCGGCTGTTATCCTAGTTCGGGCTTCCCTCTGGATATTCACCTGGTCTCCCTGAACTCAGTTCTGCCCACTTTCCTATCCGTTTCCCACACTGACATTGAAATGATCTTTCTACAATGTAAACTCGACTGTATGATTTCCCTGCTTAAAACATATCCGTGGTTCCATATTATTCTCAAGGTGAAGTTCAAACTCCTTAAAGAAAACCCTGGCCTCTGCCACCCTCTTCCTTGTTACCAGCTTCTTACTTCCCTAACCTATCCCCACTCTTGAATTCTGTTCTCCAGCAATAGTGAGTATCGTCATTTTCTTAATACCCCTCCCCCACCCCAACGTTCACCCTGATGCTCCCTGCACCTGACACCCTCTTCCTCCTCTCAGTTCTGTAACCTGCTCATGCTCATCTTTCCTCTTAAAGGGCACCGCTTGTGGGAAGCCCTGCTTGGCCTCCAACTGCCCTCTGCTACAGGTCTTTTGAGTTTCCATCGCCCACTGTGTTACTATTACGTTGTGTATCAGTTGCTGTGTCTCACTAGACTTGCAGAGTCATGAGATTCCTGAGCCTGGCTGGCCATCCTATTGTCACAGGTGTTTCACCCATGCCTTGGCATGTATTAGGTGGGTGCAAAAGTAATTGCATGCCTATTAGCATACAGTGATTTTTTTTGTTTGCTCAGTTAATTAATGCTGCCCACTTTGTTGAAACGATGTGTTCCAGAAGCCAGTCCTTGGGTCTCTGGCGAGGAAGAGACCCTCAAAGGCAGAAGGAAGCAGCTGCCCCTTCTTCAATCCACTCCTTAGAGGGGAGGCATGCTTGTAGGCAATGGGTTTCAGAGGCACAAAGGAGAAAAGGTCTCAATGAGACCTTTCTCATGGATGAGCTTGCATGGGGAGCCTGGGTCCCCTCTGTGCTAGGACAGCAAGGAAGGGACCGTCACTCAGGCTTCCAGCTGCAGGCTGAGGCAGTCAGAGGTGTCATTGTAAAATGGCTATTTTATAATTAAGTGATAATTACATTTTCTGCAGTGTGTAAGGGAGAACAAATGTAGTGTAAATCAATACACTATCGATTCATGCAAGTTTGCCTTTAAGTGTATGCGACTGAAATTTCAATTATGGCTGAGATTAGACCATCCGGCGCTCTACGTCCATCTCCATTCGTAAAAACTAGGGAAGAAATTGACCACCTGCTTGGAGACAGTGGTTATGCAGTCCCCATCACTTCCTTCCAGTGTGGTTTCTGGTACAAAGTGGTGACCCTCAGCAGTCAGCCAAGGTATAATATGTGATCCAACAGAGCAAGTGCTGCTAGATCCGTCTCCCCCAGTCCCTCCTCTGCACACATCACGGCCCTGTTCAAAAGCCTTCATTTATGCCCATGCCTGTAGGGGATAAATCTGGACTTCTGGCATCAGGCTCTCCGGTGCTGGCTCCCAGCACGGTCTCTCCCAGCTTCTTCTGCCTCAGGCCAGCTTGTTGGCCCCGAACAGACAATCGATGTTCCCAGCTGGGTGCCATAGCCTATGTGCCCCCCTCCTATCTAGTGATCTCTTCTAAAGTGACTCATACTTTCTCCACCACAAGACCAACTCAAGTTTAATCCCATCCGTGAAGCTGGGCCTGAACATGCCAGCCCATGGGAAGCTTCTTTTCCCTAAACCCTGGTGTCCCTTGTTGCTTTCACTGGTCATTTGGTATTTAGCAGGGAAAAGTGGGCAAAATATCAGTTGTGACTGTACTGCCTCTCCTGCTACCCTAGGGAATCTGTCCTTGCCATTCCCTTCCCTCTACTTCTAGCCCCACAGGCAGCCTCAAATCAGGGACGCTGGCTGATCCTGTCACCCTCTGGGTCATATTCGGCAACTTGGGGTGATGACTGGGAAGGAGAACTAGAAAAGGCCAGAGGTTATAGGATTTATATTGGAAAGGGCAAAGGATACTCCCGGGAAGGGAGAAAGAATAGAGGTGAGAGAGGAGAGAGGAGAGGGGTTCGGCTGCCTGATTCTCCCGGGGGCATCTGAGGTCACGGCCAGGTTTATTCTAGGAATTCACTGTACTATTGCCTCCCTTATTCCATCTCTGCTTTCCTAGCCCTCCATCCCAATCACGCCTTCATCCCACATTGGCTGAGTGCCCAGGGGTGCCAGGGTCGTGGGGGATCAGAGCAGTCCTGCCACAGCTTAGCCTGGGGTGTCAGGCCTAGAACTGGCTGGCTCTGCATTCGCCTTCCAGAATGCACCTCACTGTACTGATTTCACTGTGTGCTGGGCCTGTTCACATGTGTCTGAACGCTTTGCACTTCCTTTCAGATTGTGTTCCCTGCCCCCAGCCCCACCGGCGACAATGCAACAGCTATAGTGTCATCACACTTTTCATGGATGGACAAAAACCCCTGGAGGAATGAGACCAGGCTGAGTCTCACTGGCTGCCCCCGAGGAGCAAGCAACCTGTTGCGGCCCCTCTGTCTTCTCAGGACCACTGTCTCTTTCACAAGTAGCAAGGGGCTGGGGGCCTAGGGGTCCACACCTCTGGTAGCTGGGAAATGCTAGCCCACTTCCTTGGGGAAAGCACTGACCACACAGCTGGGCCCCCCAAGGGATGTTTTAGCTCTTGTCCCTCCTGCTCTAAACGTGGGCAGGCACAGTTTTATAATTGACATCCCAGGCACCGGGTACACATGGGCATCCGTAGCAGTAGGGAAAGACTGGTGAGCTGAGTAGATTGAGATCCTTGAGTCAGTTTCCCCAACTGCCCCCAGATAGGAAGCCTTTTCCACCCTGAAGATATGACATGCTCTGGATCAGAATCCTATGGGACCTCTCCAAAGCATGAAGTTCCTTCTCTCTATCTATCTCTCTTTTGTCAAGTAGGGGCTTGGCTCCAGCCTGCCCTGTCTCTCGTCACTTGTACTAATTCTGGGAATGTGTGTTCCCTGCTGTAGACTGTAACCTTCTCGAGAAAGGACACTGGGTCTTGTCATCCGTATATACCTCACAGCACCCACTAAACACAGTGCACTTAGTACACGGGTACGCAGTAGGTGCCTCATAGATGATTGGCAGATGGCATCACAGGAGCATGAGATGGACGGATAGCCCCGCGTAGGTGAGAGAGAGCCGGCAAGGCCAGCAGTGAGACGCACAGTAGGTGAGACAGTCCCTCTCTCATGGGCAGGAGGCTTTATTGAAACCAAGCTCTCTGAAGGATGGAGAGAGGTTTCCAGAAGCCATACCCATCACTCCAGCGTCCTTTCCATTCGTCCCCGTCCCAGCCCCAGGGGTTCCACAGGGAGATAATTTCTTCCCAGCCCCTTCTGTATTGAATCTGTAAAGGAAACAGAAAAGGAAACTGTCAGGGCTCTCCAGCAAAAGTCAGCAGAAAGGGGGATGAATGCAGCTGCTTTTTACCTCCAAGGACCAATTTAACTTCTGACCTCATTTGGCTGCAGCCAGAAAAAATGGAAAGGGAAAAAAAAATCAATGTCTTTGCTGCATGCACAGCGTTGGAATGAGATAGACGAGGAAATGGCTCCTCATTCTACTCAGCCCCTCACAAGGGCAGATGCAACTTTATCATTCCCTAAGACTGCGTCCCAGAACCTGAGTGAGTTGAGATTTAATAGCAGATAAATAGCAGGGGATGTCACTTCGGGCTGCGGAGGAGAACTTTATTGGTCTCCAGCCTCCTCCAAGCCCTGCCATGGACAGCATCTCTGTTCCACAGACCCAGCCTGCTTCTCTGCCGGCAGCCCAGTGGGAGCTATGGTGCAGTCTCGACAGCACCGTCATGAGTGAGGAGGGTAGAGGAGGCAGATTTGAGCAAGGCTGAGACGGCCGGGGAACCAAGATAGCTGACGCTAGCCTTCCCGGTCCTGCATCCCTGACCTGATGAGACACCTCGGTCTGAGAGAAGATGGCCAACAATGGCCTGAACCTACCTGCCCACCCTCCCTCCCTTTCTCCCTTTTCTTCCTCCTTCCCTCTTTCTCTCCCTTTCCTTCTTCCCTCCCTCCTTCCTTCACTTCCTTCCTACCTTCCTTCTTTCCCTTACTCCCTCTCATCTGTCCTTCCTTCTTTCCTCTTCTTCCCTCCGTTTATTTTTGCCTCCTTTCTTCCCTCCCTCCCTTCCTTCCTTCCTCTCTTCCTCCCTTCTTCCCGCCGTCTCTTCCTTCCTCCTTCTCCTTCCTTCTTGCCTTCTTTCCTCCCTCCCTCCCTCCCTCCCTTCCCTCCTTCTTTACCCCCTGCCTTCCTTCTTCTCTCCCTCCATCCTTTCCTCCTTCCTTTCTTCTCTCTCTGCCCCCCTGTCCGGGGAAACTCATCATCACTCACTTCAGACAAGGAACACGTAGCTCCTTCACACCACTTAAGCCAGAGGGGAGGACTGAAAATGACAGGAACACAGCAGCTAACCCTTGAACCTGCTTCCCTGGGAGCAGCAGCCCTCAGCATGGCGAGAGGAATTAAAATTTGATTGAACTGTAGCTGTGAGATCGATCTGTGCTAATGTTGTCTGAGGAGACAGAGGCCCAGAGGGGTGAGGAAAGGGGCGAACTTGCTCCGTGATACTTGGTCAGTGGAGAAAGACAACACTCTGAATAGAACAGACGGTCGCTGTACGGGAAGAGAAGCCACAGGTGGAGGCAGGGCTCAGAGCTGGGGGCCACCTAACGTGCACTAAGGAAGTAGCATCAGAGAAGCTAAGCAACTTTCTCAAGACGGCTAAGACAATGGTGGAGGCAGAATTCTCATCCAGCCGTGGTAAGTTTCCAAAGCCCTGACTCCTAGTTTTGGAATTGGGCATGAGTAAAAGTCCATTCTTGGATGTGGCTGTGACCTTGGCCTTGACTGTAACCCTCGAGCCGCCTGGTCAGTGCCAGCGCTCACCAGCAGGGCACTGCTGTGTTGGAGCACCACAGTCATAGCTCCATTCTCGGATGTGGTTGTGACCTTGGCCTTGACTGTAACCCTCGAGCCACCTGGTCAGTGCCCGCACTCACCAGCAGGGCACTGCTGTGTTGGAGCACCACAGTCACAGCCAGGCCCAGGAGCCCGGCTCAGATAAGCCACTTTTGTGTTGCTTCCCTTGTCTGCCCTGCCCCCTGTCCAGTACTTCAGCAGAAGGGGCTCTCCCTTGCAGTGCCTCCAAGAGACACAAACCCAGGTTTCCCACCCCTGTCAGCCCTACCCCGAGGCACCCCAGGCCTGGCACACAGTTTATTGTTAACTGCCAGCACCTGACAGAGCCCATAGAGCAGGGACACAGGAAATGATTGCCTGGTGTCCCAAACAGCTTAATGAGCCACCTCAGTGCCTCACAGATACTCAGAGGCTCCTGTGGGCATGGGGAAGAAAAGCAGCCTGTGATTCAAAGAGGCTGAAAGCAGGGCAAAATGAGGCATGCAAATAAACACTCACCCCTTTGCCCAGGGGAATCACTGGCTGAGCTAGGTGCATAATACAAAATGCCAGTTTCTTTTATCTTCCTGTCTGTGTCCTGCCTAGAGGGAGGATGAGCAGATTAAAAAGCATACCACATTTATGGGCTAGTTTAATCTTAGAGCTTTTGGTTCAGAGTTATAACCTCTTCTCTCTGGAGGAGGAATTTTTAACCAAGTAAAGTTCTTGGGCTCTTGTGCCCCTCCTTTATGACAGGGACCTATTAGTGCTTACACGGGCCTTTCTCTGGGGGTGCAGGGGACACATTCGAGGCCAAGGCCATGGCTACACCTAAGAATGGGCCAGCCAGGGGCTTCTTCACTCCTTGGCTGCTGACTGTGCCCCTGACCCTGCTCAGTGCTCAGAAAGGGTGCTACTGGGCAGGAGGTAGCCCAAATTATCTACCCGGCAGTAGTGCTTCCTGAAAGGAATTATCCTGAATGCCAGTTCCATTGGCCATTAAGTAATTCCTAGCAAAAATGGTTTTGTGGCTAATGATACAATAAAAACCAGCCGTGCTTGCACTGTTCATGCCGGCCTCTTGGAGCCTTTAAAATGCAAATGTACACTGTGAATCTCCAAGAAGGGGATACAGTGAGTTGCATTTTCCAAATGTATTTGGAAACCCATTTTCACAGAGTCTAGTGCTTCTTAGAACATGCTCTGGGAAGTGTCAGCTACATGGAATTGTGGAGCAGGGATGGATTACACGGGACATTCGGTCTTGATCACCTGTCTTCCCAGGTGAGGCATTCTGTTCAGACCATTCAGTGTATTATTAAAACAACTCCAAGTGTACACTATGGGGGTACAAATATTCAAGCTGTGGGTGTCATGATCAGGAGCCCAAACAGCAGCTGAGCCCGCACTTGGACTCCCGAGTTCCCCTCTGTCACCCTAGGTGTTGACATAGCTGCTCTGCAACCCAGCAGTCACTGCCATCTCCACAGCCACCCTCTGCAGGGATGCATGCTTCAAGGTCATCTGGACCTCTGGGTACATGAGTCCCTTCTCCTCTGTGTTCAGAGGAGAAACAAAGGCTCTCTCTATGTATAAAAAGGATCTTGTCCAAGAATATCAAATACATTGCAAAGGTACCATGACTTCCTCATCTCATGCCTCAAATAGATAGTACTAAATGATCACAGCTCCTTTCCATGAATCTGGAAGTGCCAAGGTCTTGTCAACACAATAATCCAGGCAGGACTGGCAACTAATCAAAGTTGACACACAAAATAAAACCTACTCCCAGATTTGTCCAGATCTGAGACTGGGGGCCTGAGCATTCATATGTACCCAGATATGATGATGGTATTGGCTGCCCACATTGAGAATTCAGGGAAGGGCCTGAGAGGGTGGGGCAACGGGAATGGTGCCTAGTTCAGAGGAAGGGAGTCTAGAGGTGTTGTGACTGAGAGCTCTCCTGGCATAGGCAGATTAGGGCAAGCTCTTCCTTGCTTTGGACATGTCTTTTGAGCTCCTCACATATAGCCTATGATGGGGGATCAGCAATGTCATCTGTCACAGGCCAAGGGTGAATGCATTCATTGACCCAGCAGTCACTGCCATCTCCACAGCCAGCCTCTGCGGGGACTCATGCTCCATGGCCATCTGGACCTCTGAGTACACGAGTCTCTTCTCTTCTTGTGTTTAGAGGAGAAACAAAGGCTATCTCAATGTATGAAAAAGATCTCGTCCGAGGCTGCCAAATACATTGCAAAGGTACCATGACTTCCTCATCTCATGCCTCAAATAGATAGTACTAATTGATCATGGCTCTCTTTCCATGAATCTAGAAGTGCTGAGGTCAATTTTGGACAACTACCTATTGTCCAAAAAGCAGGAGATATTTTCTTGGTTTTGTGATTGGGACACCAATCAAAACATGAAACAATGGAACAACTGGCCTCAGGTCCGTGGACAAGAGAGACAGGCGGCTAGAGAGAGGAAGGATGTGGGAAATGAGGAGAGGCAGGGCAAGTATGAGAAAGCCACACATAGAGCCTGATGCTCTTCAGTCCTGGGTCTATAAAGCCCTGGGAGAAATGATGAGCCCTAAAGTTTGGAACTAGGTCTCTTAGGGCTTAGAAGACCTTATTAGACCTCAAGTGTTGTGGGAAATACAGAGACCAGGGAAACAGTTGCAGGAAACCATCCCATGGCCAGGAAGTGCTGCCACCACACTTTGATGACAAGTGTATATGGACACGAAAGAGACATAGTATCCAGACCCGCTATCTCCTAGGTGCCATCTGTCTAACCTCATGAAAGACATCTCTCCCATCTGGCCTCAGCATCTTTATGAATGGAGGTTGGACTTCAGTAGCGTTTTCCAGGCCAAATTATACTGCACATAGTGATCACATACATTTTCTCCAGCCAAAGTCAATTCTTCCACTGAGGAGAACGATTTTCCTCCAGCACCAGCCTCCCCTTCTTCCATGAAAATAAAGTTTTATCTGGGCATATGGGGCCAAGCTAGACAGTGTGTGTCCCAGTCTCGCTTGGCCTTGGTGTGGCCATATAATCAAGCTAAGACTAATGGGATATGAGAGAAATGATGCATGCCTCCTCCAATTCATGCCTTCTATATGAATGTATGAGTGTCTGCCGGTCTCTTTCTCTCCCCTGGCTGGGAGATGAGGGATTAGAACAGCTATCTCGGGCTGATGGGTGGAAGGCCCATGTGAAGGATGGCAGAGCCACCTACTAGCCCTGGCATCACCTGCTTACCTGAGAGAGAAATGAATTTTATCTTAAGTCCCTATATTTTGGAGTGTCTTTGTTACAACAATTTAGCTTGCATGTAACAAATAAAATCCCTATCAGGGCAAAACGTCCCCCACGGAAGTCAATTGGGTAGTCAGTCTGGATAGACACTCAGAACTGTCTGAGATCAGTAACAGGACAGCAAGATCTTGTGAGTTCCCAGAAAGGTCAAAAACAGGAGTCAGAACTTCTGAATGAACAGAAGGAGCTGTCCATGGTGCACGTCACCATGGGGGCAAAGGTGATAGATCCTCATTTCATCTTTGTTGGGCTTGAATGTGATTCTGGTCCCTGTTGAGAGGAAGAAGAACACTGAGGCAGAGGCCAGGGGAGAGTTGGACAGGCCAGCAGCCAGTCTTACCTGCTCGGCCCCAGTCACGGTGTAGGCGTGCAGACTCACCAGCCCATTCTCCATCACCTCCGCTTTATCTGTTAGCTTCAAAGCAGAAAAGCAGACCAATCATTAGACATCTACAGGTTCTTCAAAGAAATAGAAAAACATGGTTCAAACAGCAGCTGAGTCATCTGGGCCCCACTGACTCACTTGGGAATGGCGTATAACCTGGAACTTTTCTAGAGTGGTAGGGTTGGAAGGCCATTGCGTGTCTGAGGCCCCGGGGATTTCATGCCTCAGGGAACCATCCCCATGAGTGATGGAACCCCATGGAGTCCCAAGGACCTGGGTTGCTTTCTCCACCAACCACACATCATCAGTGAGACTCTGCACAAATATGTCTGCTGGGACATTTGCAGGAGTCAGGAATCACTTGACTCCCACATTCTGAGTAATTGGAGTTTAAAGTGCAACTTGGGTTTCTGGTGGCATTTTGGATTAGCGATGTGACTCAGAGCTCACATGTTTCAAGATGAAAGAAGCATCCCGTGGATAAAAACCAGATGTTTCAGAATAGACTCAAATAATTTGGAGGATCACCCAAGCTTTTCGAAATGGGTCATGCTGCCCTTGGGTGCTGCCATTAGATTTAGTGAGCATCAGAGGGCCCCGGGGGGCTCCGTGTAAACTTAAGGCAAAATACAAAGGAGTGACCCCGAGCAATGGGAGCTGCAGCGGCCTTCTCCAGGGTGTGGTAAAGACCACTGGTTTCTCTAGAGCTGTAGCAACAGGTCCAGGCTCTGAAGGAAGTAGTATTGGAAGCCCTGTCCAGCCACTTATGAGCTGTGTGATGGTGAGTACCTTAGGTAGTCTCTGTGAGCCTGCTTCCTCTTCTGTGAAGTGAATTCTGCAATCTCTGTTTTAGAGAAAGGCTACTGTAGGTTCCAATGAGGTGACCTGGGTAAAGCATGCTATTAGTGTTTGTTAATGGTGGCAGCTTGCCATATCTTCCTCAGCTGAACGGGCTCCTGGCTGAGCATTCCTGGCTGAGGAAAGGCTTGAACTGGTGCAAAAGGGCTCCCCATTGACTTACCCCTTTTGGAGTGGCACAGGTTATCAGGGAGCCTGCCTTGATTGCTGTCTTCACTGCCATCACCAGGTCTGCAGGGGAGGAGTACAGGTGGATGTTGGTGATCACGCCTCCCGTGAGGTCCACCAGGCCATCCTCGAGGTAGCCATAGTGTAGCTCAGAATAGGATCCGAGCAGCCTGGGAAGAGAACGGCAGTTGAACCATCATGGTGCCTTTGGTGTGATGCTCAGGGAGGGGAGCTTGTGCACTGACCCTCTGCCTATTTCCCAGATGAGGGGCTGCCTGATCCACTCCTGATCATGGCCACCCACCTCGCATTTGCCTGGATGGAGATTCTAACACTGTCTGCCACTCCAGGGGCTCCTACTTTCCTCTGTACCTTCTTCCCCTGGTCCCCCAAGCCGGCACAGTCCTGTAAGTGGCAGCACTGATGAGAGGCTGGTAGTGCATGTGCTGGAGCCACAGGCCAGGGGTCGAACACCACCTTTGCCACAGTTTTGGCTGCTTGACTTTGGGCACATTAATGAGCCTCATGGGGCTATGTTCCACACAATGCCTGGCACTTGGCCATCCCTTAATGAGTACTGGATTTTATGATGATGAGTATCTCCTGCTTCCCATTCAGTTTAACAGCAATGTGAAGTACTGACTGAGGGCCAGGGACTGAGAGGCATGTGTTTAAAGACCCCATTCTTCACAGCCTTACCTTGATGCTGGTAGTGGATATTGCCAGCCTCTGTTCTCACGCTACAAACCCTGATCCAGAATTCCCATTCCCAGAGTTACCCACTCACCCCCAGATCATCAGGGAGATCATCGGCTTAACTGAAGGTAACATAGGTAAGGATGAGTCTTGTGTAACATGCCCCAAAAGCTCAAAACCCTCGCTCCCTTCTCCAAAGCATCTCTTCCTGCCACCCCACCTCCACCCCCACCTATGGCATTTTGGTTTCTGGGGAGATGGGCAGGGCCATATCCAAGAGGCCTAATGCTCCCCAGGAGTGAGGGTGGCCTGATCAATCACGGTAGAACCTGTTACGCAGGGGCCGGATGGTAAGATTTGTTTTGAGAACTTCAGCTTCCATCCGTGGGGTAAACTGGAAGGGTTCCACGGAATCCTGAAATGTAGGCAGGGCAAGCCCGCAAAGGAAATGGAACTGAGGTCAGGTCAGGCAGGAGACCCTGGCATGAAAGCCACCCCGCAGAAGCCACATTCACTGCTGCCTCTGTCACTTGGCCTTCTTGCCAGGGACCTATGCGTTCCTGTCCCCAGTGGGCAGGCAGAGGCAGAGCCCTCCACAGGGTGGTAGGCAGTGGAGGAAGTCCTTGCTGCAGCTTCAGTTCCGGTAATGCAAAATCACACAGGGATCAAGGCCTGGGTCCATTCTGCTGCTCCCTCCAACTGGGTCTTCCACCCTGGACGAGACCCTTCCCCCTCCCCGCACTTGGTCTTTCAACTGGAAGCTGCAGGGTGAAGTGGATCAACCCTCAACATTCCTTTCTCACTCTTTTCACCTCTGACATTCTCTCCTGGGGATCACACAGAATTCCAGGTAATTCACTTCAGCAAATACATAGCAAGCAGTGAGTATCAGTAGGACACTGCCCCAGGCATGAATGCTTAGAAGGAATGGCTTAGAAAGCCTTTTGTTAAAGAAAACGGAGGATTCCCAGAACAGAGGGACATTCTACAGGAGCCACTACAGGACAGATTCATCTTGATCTGTATTTATTTCTAAATCTTATCCTCCTGCTCTCCCTCTCTTTGACCCAGGGTCTAGACTCTTATCTCTGGAGCGTTTGCTCAGTCAACTGTAGGGCCTTCTTTGGTGGTGAGTGTGCCTTGTGGGGACTGAGCTGTGCACTCCCTTGTTGTCCCATGTGGGTTCTGGCTTCTGTTCCAATTACAAAGGTGTGGCTGAGGGTGCTGGAAATTCACAAGGACTGGAGTTTGGGAACCCATCTCCACCAGTGCGACCTCCTGCCCTTTGCAACAGCCCTTTCCTGGTGATACGCCCAGGGTGCCTTTCCTGACTTCAAACAGGGCTGTGCTGAAGAACAGCACTCAGGCTGGGCACAGTGGCTCACACCTGTAATCCCAGCACTCTGGGAGTCCGAGGTGGGAGGATTATCTGAGGTCGGAAGTTCAAGACCAGCCTGGCCAACATGGTGAAACCCTGTCTTTACTAAAAATACAAAAATTAGCTGGGCATAGTGGCACAGCCTGTAATCTCAGCTACTTGGGAGGCTGAGACAGGAGGATTGCTTGAGCCAGGGAGATGGAGGTTAAAGTGAGCCAAGTTTGTGCCCCTGCACTCCAGCCTGGCCAACAGAGTGAGACTCTGTTTCAAAAATAAAGAAATAAATAAAAAGAACAGTACTCTAGAAAAGCCGTGATGGGGCCTGGCCCCTCCCTCACTTCATTGTCTCCCTGCCTGGGGGCCCTGTCTGATGTTCTGTACCCACAGCGTCTGGCAGTCACCTCAGAGTCATCCAACACAACCAAAGGCACTCCCGGTGTCTTCTGAAGCCTTCTCTCACTATGTATCCACAATGCCCATGAAACCTGTCCCAGCAGCAGCTGGATGTTTTGACAAGGAGCTATCTTTCTGCATTCCAAACATGAGCTTACAGATCCTGCTGACTTTCAGGAACACAGCAACTATTCTTAGCCCCTTTTGCTGACAGAAAATAGAAAGGAGAGAGAGAGAGAGAATTGTGTTCACCGCAGCCGCCACTATTCCTCGTCACCTGAACCAGGAATTCTGAGACAGCATTGTCCCCACCCCTCTGCTTCAGCCTCATTTGGGGAAATGTCTTTCTGCCTGGCAATCATATGACAGACGGAAGAATTCAGAGAGAGCTGGAGTGGATGCTGAGATGCTGCAGAGATTCTGTAAAGGATGGTAAGCAGCCTGCCAGCTCTCGTCCCTCAATCTCCGTCTACTTCATGACCTCTGGTGAAAACAAAACTCCTAAATACAGTTTTCATTTGACTTGACCAATTAATTTCCAGAATCTCCAGCTGCAAGGGGAGTAGAAAGTTTGGAGTCCATGTGTTCACTGGGATGTTGCCTGCACCATTGGAGGGAAGAGGTCCCTCTCCATCTGGACAGATGGGCTCTCTGCATTTGGGCTGTAGTCCTCGTATGCCAGACGCTGAGCTCCATAAGCAGCAAAAAGATAAATCCTTTTCCTGTAGGACTGACAGTGTCAGAGATGGGGGGAAGGCATGGGAAATAGTGACTAGGGAAAACTGCTCACCGCATCCTCATCTGAGAGTGATCTCGGGCCAGTCATTTCACCTCACTGAGACTCAGTTTCAGCTTTCAAAGAAGGTGGGGTTTGATGCTGACAGATGTCCCTTCTGGCTCTGAAATACTGTAATTCTACATGATTCACCCCCACATTTTAGAGCTTCCTTTTTTTGGACAGTGAGGGATGGGGGACCTTTTAAACAGCTTTCATAGTTGGAGAGATTTTATCCTCTGCTAGATATCTTTAAGTAGTGGAATGAGGATGCCAGGTCTACATTCCTATTTCTTTTCAAGCTGAATGATTGCCTTTAGGTCATCTGTTAACAAAATGGGGTCAAAGTCATCATTTCATTCTGCAAGTTTTCTAATTCTCCCAGGGAACCACTGGTCTCCCCCTTTTTACATAAGGATAAAACGAGGCCCTGAAGAGATGAAGGCTGAATCCGTATTGAAAAGATAATGGCAGTGTTTGCATAAGTAGCTTAAAAGTGAATTAACCTCCCAAACATGTGGATTGGTTCAACAACCTTGGCTGTTATCTGGGCTTCGTTCTCAAATGCTAATAAGCACCTCTTCCTGACATTTGAAATGAGCAAAAACTTTAGGTTTTCACAAGTGTGCCTCAAAAAGAAAGAATGCACAAAAAGAGGTGGAGGCACCTCACTGTTTGGACTGTGACTTCCAGAAGGACAGGGACTGGGGTGGACTGTGATGCTGTCACCACCTCTAGGGCCCAGAACTGCACTCAGCAAGGCTGCGGAATGGACGGGGGAGATCATGATATCCCCTGGCCAGGTGAGTAAAGACCCAGCAGGCCCAGTGGAACTAGGTGCACCTGCCATCTCATCACAATTCGGAGACTCAGCTTTTCCATTTGTCAGCTGAGAGGCTGGTTAGGATGTCTCCAGAATTTTCTGGATCTATGATGCTCTCTACTCATTTTCTATTCAAGGGTGTGTTCCTCTCTGCTTTCATCTGCTGGCAATGATCCCCAGCTCTGCCATTTCCCTCGCCCCTCGCAGTGCTTGCCTCACACATAGTCCCTTCTGAGGGCAAGTGTCCCCTCCCCAGCTCCTGCCTTTTGTAGCTACTTCACCCAGGCCATGGCTGATTGGGCCGATGGGGTCCTGACCCAAGCTTGACCAATAAGACTCCGACTCTCTGGATTAGAATCAGGTACTGGGCGGGGAATCGGGTGGAAAGCGGCAGAAGGTAAAGACGGAGACATGAGGCTGGGCGGCCTGATGAGGCGTTCAGAGGAGGTGAGGTCCTGAAAAAGGCTGAGTGAGGAGGCACCAGAAGAAGATACACCACAAAGACAGGAGGCTGGGTGGGAGGAGGAGGAGCAGGCCAGCTGCAGACAGGAGCAAAGTAGAGCAGAGCAGAGACCACAGCAGCCGCATCCAAACCAATGCCAGGGTCTTTCTCTAGTCCCCGAGAGCCAGCCCCATGAGAGTCCCCATCCCTGGGCCTCTGCGTGCTTTCCTGTCCTATTTCCAGGGGCCCTGCCTTCCCCCTCCATGATATTACTGCAAGCTCTTGCTTTTTTTTTTCTTTTGTTTGCTTCATTTTATTTCACGAACTTTCTCTCTTTTTTCTTTTCTTCCTTTTTCCCTTTTATTTGAGATGGAGTCTTGCTCTGTCACACAGCCTGGAGTGCAATGGCGCAGTCTCAGCTCACTGCAACCTCTGCCTCCCGGGTTCAAGCGATCCTCCTGAGTAGCCGGAATTACAGGTGCATGCCACCATACCCAACTAATTTTTGTATATTTAGTAGAGTTTCACCATGTTGGTCAGGCTGCTCTCAAACTCCTGACCTCGTGATTTGCCCGCCTTGGCTTCCCAAAGTGCTGGGATTACAGGCGTGAGCCACCGCGCCTGACCCTTTCCTTCCTTTTATTCACATTCTTTTTCTCCTGTACCCCAAGAAAAGCATTTCAGGATGCTTAATGTGCAATTTTTGTTTGTATGTGTTCTTGTGAAGCGAGAATTGCAGGGCACAGAGTTCCCATTTCCATAAATAACTGTGCAAGGGGTTGCTCACTGCCTGTCACCTCATTTGCAAAAGTTAGGAAGCTGGAGAACACCAAGTGTTTACCAGGATGTGGGGATCCAGGAGCCCCCAAGCAGCACAGGAGGGAGTGTGTACACAGGCAGCCTCTGAAGGACAATCTGACAATACTTGTCTTGGCTACATGCACGTCTCACACCTACTAAGGGCACTTCTAGGGGGTCCCAAGGACCCTGCGTCTAAGGAGTGTCCTGGTCACAGTAAACAGGTGGGATCTATGGTTTCTGATTGCTGTGTGGCTCTCCATGGAGTGTGCCCACCCCATTGTACCCACTGACCTCAGTGATGGACACTCCACACTATCCTCATGGCAGTCAAGTCATCCTCAGGTATGTCTCCCAGAGGCTCCCAGGAGTGCCCTTATTGGGGTGAGATGTGCGTGTAGCCAAGCTAAGTATTGCTGGGTTGTCCTTCAGAAGGCTGCCTGGGTGCACACTCCCTCCCATGCTATTTGAGGGTCCTGGATCCCCACATGCTGGAGAGCACTTGGCATCCTCCGGATTCTAACTGTTGCAGTCTCATAGCAGGAGAGGGATGTGTCATTACTCTTTGTGTTTATATTGTGTTGATTATGGAAAGTTTGAGTCTATCTTTATCATCTGTGTGGGTGTTTAGGCCAGTGCCCCCTTCCTCACACACACACGTGTACACCGCCCCCATACACACAGTCCTGCACACATCCTACTTGAGTCAGCCTGAGAGCGTCTGTCCCAGTGCCAAGCACAGTGCCTGGCATATGGTTAAATGCTCAATAAACATCTGTTGAATAAAAGCAACCCAAAAAATTTAAGTACAACATATGAATTGGGATATGCATACGGTTTTAAGCTTGTCAGCACCCAAAGGCGGTCCCTAAGTCATGGTATTTTGATCAGAAGAGAATGCACATGTCCTGCCCCACCCCCAGACATAGATGCCATCTCAAAGCAGCTGTACCAGGTGCCCAACTGCCTGGACCACCCCGATGATGCCTTTGTTTTAGTCACTCCCATTGCTGGAGATGCCTCCTCCCACCCATACCCTTTCCCCTTGTTGAAATCCTACCCATCTTTTGAGGCCTCACTCAAATGCCACCTTCTCCACATAGCCTCAGCCTGACTTTCTGTGAGTCAGAGAGCCAGAATTGTTTCCTCTCTCATCAGACTTTGACCATGATATTATCAAATATATTTCTTTGGGCCCTGATGCCAGCCTTGCAATAATATCATTGTCAGTGCATTTCTCTGTCCAGCCCCTGCACTGCCCACCCTTCACTGTGTGCCTGTGGGACCCTCTTGATGGCCCCAACACTGACCTTTGCATGTGGCCATTGTTTATGGAGGATGCCCAGCCAGGTGGCAAAGGCTGCAATGCTCCAAGGGGGATTGTTTGCATTCAGGAGAGCTGCTGAGAGCCACTGGGTAGGTGGGACCAGCACTGAAACTCTGGGCTGTTGGGCAGTGGGGTCGTACTTACTTGGCATAGGCTTTCTCCAGCAGGCAGGGCCAAAACTCTTGGCTGTGGTGGAGAGGACGCACAAAGAGGCATTGATTTCCCTGGACGGGCAGGCGGTCATCAATCACCACTTCCACCCACTGGCCACATTGCCAGAACTGTAAGAGAGCCAAGTATATGCTTTACAAGAGTTGAGGCAGGAGGGAGCTCCTGGATCCTCTAACCTAAGTCAAAAGTTGCCACATGGCCTCTACAATGCAATAACTAACTATCCAGAACAAAATCACAGCCCAGGTTGCTGGGCAGGAGACAGGCATGTCACCTCCACTGGCAGATGGAGGAAATGAGTCACAGACCAAGTTGGTCTGAAAAGATATAGGCAGAGAAGAAGCAGACTTGAGTTCTAGCTTCACTTTGGCCTCACTTTGGCAAGTCCTTTGTGAGCATCAGTGACACACATGAGACTCTCTAGGTACTTCTTGTGCACAAAATGGCAATAGGGAAGCAATACTACCAACAGCGGGGAGTGGTAGGCGCAGGGCTAGCATGAGAGAGGCAGAGCCTGCGGGAGCCGAGGGTTTGAGGGATCAGGCAGGATTTAAGAACTTGGCAGGATGACAGGGAAGGTATCCCAGACAGCGGGCACAGGCCCAGAGACAATGACGTGGATGGCTCAGGAGGACTGAGCAGTGACAGCCTTCCTCCGGCCCTCCTCTTCTCCCATCAAGCTGGCCCTGCCATTATAGCAGCAGAAAGGAAACTGGCTGGCGTTGCTACTGCTAAGAGCACAAATGAACCAGATGTTCCTTTCCAAAACAGACTGTTTTAATCTTTAGCATTCAACTCTAAATGGTTCACCCGGGGACATGGCCAAATGAGGAGAATTCATAACAAAGCCAGCTTTTTGGATGCTCTTCACTGGCCTCCCCTGTGTAGGAGAAGCAGGAGGGCTTCCGGCTTCAGCCGTGAGCTTTGGCAAAGGCAAATTTTTCACTAGGTGGACTCCATGGAAAGCTGGGTGGATAGGCTCTCTCATCCACATGGCCTTTTCCACAGCTGGATGTCCCAGATGTTGGGCTCTTGCATTCAGCTGAGGATGCAGTTTCAGAGCAGAGATGGAGATTGAAACAGATAGTAAGACAGAGCAAAGATGTTTTTATAGTAGCTAATGAGGCTGTGCACTATGGCGGGTCCTCCACAGCTGTAGACTTCTGTTCCTATTGCAGTGAGCAGCAAGATGTGTCGGCAGTGAGGTTGAGAGGCAACAGGGATGTTTTCAGGAGGGTGATCACAAAATGCATCCGAAGCACTGAGGGAAGCTAATCCCAATCCTCAGAAGAGAGTGCCAAAAAGACAATCTGGATTTTGTGATTAATTGGATAGCAGCATATAGTAGACAGCAGTCAGTCGATGGAACCGTACTTGAATGCTGGTCTTGCCTCTTATTACTCAAGCAACAGATGTTGAACCAGACACTTAATTCTTTGGGACACAGTTTTCTCATCTGTCAAATGGTGGTAAGAGTAAGAACTCCCTAATAGGTTGTGATTAGGATCAGATAAGATCACAAAAGATGAGACTGTGAAAACAAGATTGCAGTTATGAGAATAGAGACTCTTTCAGTGGCTATTTGGTTCAGCACCTAGGACAATGCCTGGCACACAGTAGGACATTAAGAATGAGTAAGTTCTGGCTTCAATGAGCTTCTCTGGTTAGTTCAACTTAAAAATAACTCTTACCCATATCTTCCCACACCAGTAATGCTGACCAAGCTTGCTTTGCCTATACAAAGGGGACATCAGGCAACTTTGCCACTCTCAGAGAGGATGAAAAGGGCCTGATTGGTGGTCAAAAATGAGGCCACTACCTGCATTTCCTGGTCCATGCCTCTGGGTGAGGAGGGCTGGCATTTGGATTCTATCTGTACCTTCCAAGAACCATGCTGGAGGCCATTTTGCCAACACCCAGTGATCTGACAGGGAAACCAGAGTGTTTTAGGAGCAAAGCATCTGAGGTGGCCTGGGCACTGAGTAACTTTTGGAGAGCAGCACCCAAACTTGCAGCAATGAGAAGAGATCTACAGAGATCAGTGCACTGCAGCTGCTTCTGGGGAACTGTGTGACTTTCTTCACCACCCAAAAGGGTAGAGTGTGTCTTGCCTGAGCCTTGCGTTGTCTTAACCACCTGAGTAGTTCCACCAGTGCTGGTGCTCTGGGATGAGCTGAGACACAGCTCAATCCTGGATCCTCTAGCTCACTCCTTGGTGTGGTCCTTGGACCAGCAGCAGTAGCATCACCTGGCTGACAGAAGACCAAATATGCAAATAGTTGAATGTAAGGAGGTGAGAACAGGATAAAGGAAGGGCCCAGAATTGACAGAGGGAAACTTAGTAGAGTGGAAGGATGGAGGTCTTCAGATTGAAAAAGATCACTGAATTCTTAACAGGTGCACATATAGATATATTCCAGAGAAATTTCTGAATCCCAAGGAGAGAGTGCACTTCTTACAGACCTGCAGTTGGAGAGACCATGATGTATGCAAAGAAGTATTCAAAGTCCAGAGAATAGATTAACATGACATTTTTCTTCTGCAGCATTGGAAGCTACAAGACAATGAAACAATGTTTACAGACTTTTCAGGAAAAGAAATATGATCCAAGAATCCTAAACCTAACCGAAATAGCATTCTTAAGTGAGAGCAAAGGAAAACCTCTCATGAATTCTGAGGGAATGATTCAAGGAAATTCTATCTAACAAAGGTTTAATTAGAACCATAATCTTAAGGAGAAACGAAGGGTGGGAGAAACAGTGGTAGGTGATGAGTTTTAAATATGTTTATGAGAAACACACCTTTAACAAAGTGAACATGAAATTAATAATAAAGAGAGGAACAAAAATATTACAAGGAAATTGACATAATAGGAAGCTAAAGTGGCAACAGGAATATCAGGTAAAGAGGAATCCAAGGCCACAGCATTAAATGTAACAAATAGAGATATTGTACAAGTTTTGTTGCAATAAGAAGATAGCAGGATCATAAACCTTCGGGCAAGGAATATAACAGGAAAAGTGTAAAGCCAGAGCACCTGAAAGCATAAGAATTCTCCAAACAATAACTATGGGAGGAACTTCTCTTTATAATCTAATGAATCAAGCAGACAAAAAGAAAGTCAAGATGAAAGACGTAGTGGGAGGTAACACAACAGCAAATCACAAAGCTTGATTCAGTATGTAAAACTCACAACCACTGGATAATATAGATTGTCCTTGTGTGTCCAGGAGCCATTTATAAAAACTGCTGTGGACTTGGCTAGAAATAAAACTATTCATCTTCCCAAATGTAGACAGTTAATAAATTATATTCTCCGATTATAATAAAACAGACACTCAGCAACTAAAAGATTACCTCTGGTAAAACTTAATCTCTTGAAAATCAAATAAACATTAAAGAGACAATCCCCAAATGAAAAAAGATGCAAAAACTAAAAATGCGTTACCTTAAAAATTAATCAAAGTAAGACTTTTTATATAAAAACTTATAGTTACACATCTCAGAGGAAAGTAAAAAGACTAAGAATATTAAGTGTGCAGTTTCAGAAAATCACAAAAACCAACAAAATTAGGAGAAAGTATAAAGGAATAAAGATAGAATTGAAATAATTAGTTATATAGAGAACAAAACCTCAAAAGGAAAAGAATAGAAAGACTAATGAAAATCAAAAGTTGATTTGTTAAAAAACAAAAACATAAAATGCACACACAACAGACTGATTAGATTAAAAATAAAAAAAAAAGGAAAAGTAAAAATAAAGCACAGATTGAGAAAGTAGATTTGGTCACAGATTACAAGAGGTTAAATGAATTGTCAGAGATTCATATAAGCAATTTGGTGGCTATATATTTGAAAATACCAAAGAAACAGTTGATTTTTCTAGTTGAGTATAAATTTTAAGAATGAACTTAGGTAGAAATAAGAGACCTGAACAGATCAATAGCTATTGAATACATTGGAAGAATTAAAGGAATCACATTTAAAAGGGAGGCAGGCTCAGGTAATTTCACTGTTGTCTATTTTACTTTCAAAGAACATTTAATTAATGATTAGCTTCCATTATTCGACTTATTTCAAATCAAGGTATGTAGAGCTCAATTAGTTTGTTTTAAAAAGCTAGCGGAACTTAAACATGATAAAAATAACAAACTAGACACCAATTTTATGCATAATACAGGTACAAAAATTTCCATACCATTTTTAGCAACTCGAATGTACTGAAAGAAGAATAAATTAAGAAAGTGCATTACTAAAATCAAGAGAACGCAGGATTTGGCTCTTGTCACTCATTCAAAATTGTGAGGTTCTAGCTAAAGTGACAACGAGACAAGAGAGTAAAGTAAGTTCTATAAATTTTAAAAGGAGAGACAAAGTGACTTCTTTGCAGATAATGTTATTAGATAGCTAAACCAACCCAGATTCTGTTAAAGAACTAAGAACTAATAAAAGAATTTGTTAAGGTGGCTAGATGCAGTTTAATATATAATAAGTAGTAGCTTTTCTCTTTTTTAGCAACATCTACTTCAAAATGAGGGGGGAAAAGACCTCATTTACATGAGCCACAAAATTATAAAATGTTTGAGAATGAATTTATCAAGAAGGATAGAGCACCAAAATGAATATAACACTTTACTGAAGGGCATAATACTAGTTCTTAATAAATAGAAAGGTGTCCCATGTTTCTGGAAACGAAAACTTTAAATAATAAAAATGTAATTTTTCTGAATTAATACATAAACTGAGTGCTGCTGTATTCTGTATTAGGTGGCTTTTAAAAAAATAGACAAAGTAAGTTAAAAATTCTCATGGAAGAATAAATGTGCAAGAATTACCAAGATATTTTTGAGCAAACGGTAACGAATAATGATGGAGAACTTATCCTACCAGATGTTACTGCTTTCTATAAAGCTACTCTAATCAAAATAGCACGATATGGCCCAGGAATAGACAGAGACAAAAACTCGCTGTTACTTACAGGGTTCTCGATCATTGACTCTTTTGCTAATCATTTCTGTCATTTCTTTTTATTTACACGAAAACATTTCAACTCTCATCTTCCCTGTGTGTTGTCAGATTACAAGCTCAAATCCTTTTTTTTGGATGTAGGGAGGGTAACACAACTGTCACTTTCATCTCAGGCTGCCAGGCCAAGAGAAAACTTAAGACTCCCACCTTTCCTGTACTCACAGAGAACCCCGTCTTACAACCAGCATCGCAGGAGCACACGTACCCGGAAGTGGAAAATCCCTGCATACTGGTGTGAAAAGCTTTGTCTTTCATCTATCAGGATCTTCCGCATGTATTGTGGGTTCTGAGTCAAGGAGCCCAGTGCTGCCAGGAACCAGCAGTCAGCTGTGAGGGGAGATAAGCCAGGAAAGTCTGACTGAACACATTTGGAAGCCCCGTCCCATAATTTTAAAGGTCCTTGCCACCAAATGCCACACAGTTCCTTCTGGATCATGCATTTTTTTTCCCCTCTGAGATAGGAGAACTGAGAGAGGGAGTCACAGGGGCTGGCTCCAGGAAAGATAAATAAGAGGCGGTGGTGGTGGTGGTGCTCACAGAGTCTTGCTCTTTCACCCAGGCTGGAGTGCAATGGCACGATCTCAGCTCACTGCACTTTCCACCTCCTGGGTTCAAGCGATTCTCCTGCCTCAGCCTCCTGAGTAGCTGGGACTGCAGGTGCACGCCACCACATCTGGCTAATTTTTGTATTTTTAGTAGAGACCGGGTTTCACCATGTTGTCCAGGCTGGTCTCAAACTCCTGACCTAAAGTGATGCACCCGCCTCAGCCTCCCAAAGTGCTGAGATTACGGGTGTGTGCCAGCATATCTGGCCTCTGAATCTCTTTTTGCCAGAGGTGCTCAGAGCTATAGTTACAGCAAATTTCAGCAATAATGCTCTATACAATTGAGGAAAACTGATTTGTGTTTTTCTTTGCTATTAGCTCAGCCCCTCCTTGTGCAGAAGTAGGGAGAGGCTCTCTCCTTCTCCTCCATGAGGGATGCATGGCCTTGAATTTCTCCTTGGATGTTCTTGTAAGCCCCTTTAAGTCCTCTTCTCCCCTCCTTGAGTCCTTTCTCCTTCACCCCTAACATGATCAATTTGTCTTTGAATGCCATTTCATGCCAGGCACTGGGTTCAGTTCAGAAGCCACAAAGATGACCTCAGAGAGGTCCCTTCTCCAGTGAGGTGAAACCCTAACAGGAGAATCACTGGCTGGTGGCCAGGCAGGCTCTATTGACTTGGTCCAAGGCACGGTGATTCTACCAGGTGAAGTTCAAGTACAGGACCTATCATTTGCAAGCTGACATTTTGAAAGCTTAGTGTGTTCTCAGAAGGGTTGTTGTCTTTGCTGTCTCCCAACTCCTATCCACTCTGCAGCCAGCTCTGCCCTGCACTCCAAGGCTTCTCTTTCTGAGGTTTCTCTTGGCCACACCTGGGCTGTCCCAGGTGTGGGACAGCCCCTCCTGTTTCCCTGTCCATGCCTTCCAGCACTCAGCAGCTCCTTTGCTCTGGGGCTGTCCGGTGGGGTGGGAAGCCATCAGCGAGCACTGGATTCTTTACTCTGTTACTGAGTGTGTGACATTAAGGAATTATTTTACCTCTCAGACTGTCCATTTCCACATATATAAAATGGAGTTGCTGCAGCCGTGCAAGGTGTCTTGCATGGTCATTGCAGAAACTCAGTGTATATTTGCTTTCCGTTTTCCTGTCTCCCTTTCCCCTCCTCATTGCAGGCTGCAGGACTGGACATGAGCAATCCATCCACAGCAGCATCAAGGGAACTGGCCATCCTCCCTCATCAGTGGGCAGGACTCTGTGGGTGGGCAGCACCCTCCACCCCTCCCTAACCAGAGCAGGGAGGGAAGATGTTGCACTCTTACCTGCTTCTCCTTGTTGGATGTCAAATCTGCTTATGCCATCCTGGACGAAGTGAGGAGCACCCCCTGGTAAATCCTTTAGGAAAGAGGGAGAAAAGCTATGAGGATCATTTATTCCTTTGTATCCCAAAGTGGCATCATTCACTTTGTCTTTCAAGGGTAGAGGTTAATTCTTAAATAGGTGCTTAAAATCCAAGTTAGAAAAGTTTGCCCGAGTTCTTCAGCCTTTATTCTATCAGGAAGGCAGCAGGTATCACAGGGATGTAAATGTAACTGGCAAGACAGGCCATAAATGAATTAGCATACTACCCAAAGAGATCACGTAAATAAGGGCTTCGAGTCCTTGGATCAAATAGCCATTCCATCTCAACAAGCCAGTGTTTTATTAAGAGGTTGCAAATAAACCATCAAAAATGAATATAACACAGTTATTAGAGGAGATATTTATAAACATAATAAAGTACTATAGCTTTCATAATAAAGCTTTTGTGAAATGGTATCTCTCAGAAATTAACATAGGTATTCTGGACTCCAGGTTTAAGTCTAGCCATGTGCTATAAGGGACACACGATGCACATGACAGCTCTTTGCCCACTCCTGGGTAACTCACAGATTGGGTCTGGAAGGCCCCAGTTCCCTTGTGTGAGGAGCTGGCACTCAGTGACCGGTCCTTCCCTAACCTCTAACACACAAAGTGCCTGCCAGCCAGTACTGCCAGCGTGTACTGGGGGATTCCCCCAGTGCTGCCACATCTTGGAAGAATATGAGGAACTGCCAGCAGGCACTGCGATTGTGAGAGTTCCCAAAGGGGGTCCCTGGGTACTCTGGGAGAATACTGGGCCACAGGCTGGCTCCTGCCCAGCACTGGCCTGCCCTCTAGGCTTGCCCCACTAGCACCTGCCACGATGGCCTCGGCTGCCCTTCTGTGCAGCTCTTCCTAGATTTGCATAATTTGGTAATTTGTCCTTGTATCATTTCTTTTCACATTGACCAATAAGTCCGCAGAGAGTGAGCCTGCAAACTGGAATTGGATTCATTTGCTGAGTAGCCATTCCTGTACAGAGTCATGCACCTTGTAGAACCTGCCAGCTCTTCATAAACTGCCCAAGTTTCCTGGAAGAGACACACACCAAGGGGCAAATGAAGGTGTGCTCACTTGCAAACACAGGAGCCTGGCTGCAGGCATCATTTACCAAACTCCTCCTACTGCTTTCTCCGCAACTAACCAACCCCATCATATGCCAGGGGTGGGGGGGACTCTCGGGCCCAGGCCCTCACACCAGGTCCGACCATCTGCCAGAGCCATAGTGGACAGAACTTGAGGATCTCCTCCAGCACAAGAAAGAAGGAAGGACGACCTGAGCTGCTCTGGCTGCATGCAGGGTTCCAAGTGAGGCTGGTGTGAAAACCGCGGAGGACACCTCAGTAGCCTTTACTTATCTCCTCTCTCTGTTGAAAAAGGGGATTTAAGGTCTCGAAGGAGGCCTGCTGTCAAAGAACCTCTACTTGTGGGAAGTAAAGAAGTGGATCACAAGGTCAAGAGATCGAGACCATCCTGGTTAACATGGTGAAACCCCGTCTCTACTAGAAATACAAAAAATTAGCTGGGCACGGTGGCATGTGCCTGTAATCCCAGCTACTCAGGAGGCTGAGGCAGGAGAATTGCCTGAACCCAGGAGGCAGAGGTTGCGGTGAGCCGAGATCGCGCCATTGCACTCCAGCGTGGGTAACAAGAGCGAAACTCCGCCTCAAAAAAAAAAAAAAAAAAAAAAAAAAGAAGAAGAAGAGGTGGAGACTGTGGCATTTTCAGACCAGGAACAAAGATGGCGTTGCTTCATTTTCTTGACCTTGGCTACGGTTCTTCCCTGAGGTCCTGCTAGTTTCCCTCCAGGGATCCCCAGAGCAAGTGTAGAGGTGCTTGGAGAGCCCATTCAGACAGACCTGGTGTGGAATCCTCCTCTGACATTTCTCCCTGGGTGACCTTGAGACCTTGAGCAATTCCCTTTACTTTGCTGTGCCTCAGTTTCCTCATGTGTAAAATGGGAACAATAATACAAAATGTAAGAACAGTTGGGAGAATCTAATGACAATGCAATCAAGGCAATGGCTGTCATTCATCAAACCCTTGCTGAGGGCGGGTCCCTTGCTCCTGGATTTTCTCTGGTAAGGCTCCCAACAGCCTTGCAAAGCTGGATGAGTCATTTCATTTACAAATGATAAAGGATGTGAAATACTTAGCACAGTGTCTGACATAGTACATGTTCAATAAATATTGATCCCCCTCTTTTGGAATATTTACAAAGTTAAAAAGGCTATACTCGGACAATCCCATAGCGTTGGGTGCATTCGTTATTAAACGAGATAGAATAAAGACATGAATTAAGCAGTCAATTCATAGATCTTAGAAAGAAAAAGACAAAAAGAGCTTCAGAAAAATAGGAGGAAGAACTGAAAAGAACAATTCGTGAATTATAAACCAGAAAAACAGCAAGATAAATAAATAAATTGTTCTATTATTTGCCCTTGAAAGTAATGGCCAATAAATGGTTTTTGACATTGAAAGTAATGGCAAAAACTGCACTTACTTTTGCACCAACCTAATATTTGGGGGAGGGTTACACAGACCCAACCTTTGGCAAATATGATAGAGAAACTGAAATAAAAATAGAATTAAAATAGAACTTCAGGGCCGGGCGTGGTGGCTCTCGCCTGTAATCCCAGCACTTTGGAAGGCCAAGGCTGGTGGATCACGAGGTCAAGAGATCGAGACCATCCTGGCCAACATGGTAAAACTGTTTCTTCTAAAAAATACAAAAATTAGCTGGGTGTGGTGGCATGTGCCTGTAGTCCCAGCTGCTTGGGGGGCTGAGGCAGGAGAATTGCTTGAACCTGGGAAGTAGAGGTTGCAGTGAGCTGAGATTGCACCCCGGCACCCCAGCCTGGTGCCTGGAGACAGAGTGAGACTCTGTCTCAAAAAAAAAAAAAATAGGGCTTTGGAAATATAAAATCATAATGTAGAATTCCACGCCAATCAATGAAAAATCTCATGATTTTCTGACAAAAATTAATTTGGCTAAAATTGACTCATGTTAGCAAATAAGCTGAAAAGACTAAAAGCTTTGGGATAGTATTTTAAAGTTATCAAAGGGTATCGCCCGAATGCCCTGTAAAGGCTTACAGGTACATACAATTTTTCTTCTGAGTTCCCTCAAACTTTCAGAGAACAGACAATTCCACTCTCATTTATAGTTTCAGTGTAAAAATAAAAAATTAAAAAAGAATTCTGACACCATTAAGAAGCCAGTATAGACTTGATCCCCAACCTGAGAGAAACATATATACATCCCAGACTGATTTTGGATAATTTGTTATCATGATATAGGATTTGCTGTAGAAAATACAGAATGCAAGGACGGTTTCATATAAGACATCTAACAGTATGAAGTAGCACTTACATGGGCCAAATGGAGAAAAAATTGTATCCTTTCAATAAATGCTATGAAGGCTATTTGATAAATACACAACTTTTTATGATTTACTAGAATAATAAAAGTTAAAATTAAAAACAAAACTTTAGCTAATTAGGAACAGAAAGATACTTTGATGTGATAAAAATTAAATGGTGATTATCTCAAACCACAAATCAATAGTCAACTTCAAGTTTATGGGAAAACACAGGAATCGTTCATGTCAAAAGTGGGCACAAAGCAGCTTCTATGTCTCCGGTTCTCTAAGCTGCTTCTTCCTCCCAGACCATGGACTTTAGAGCTGTGACCAATAATCCAAAAAGGGAGATGGTAGGAAGGGATGGAAATGGTACCCAGAGCATCTTAGTCTGCCACCCTGACTTCCTGAGACAAGGCCCATTAAGGAAACAGGTAAAGATGGCTGGGAAAATGAGAATGTGCTGACTCTGGGCAGGCCACCTATTACCAGGTGGGCCAGGCACATCAGGGCAGTGGTGAAGTCAGTGTGATGAGAACCTAGATTAGATTCAGGCTGAACTGCCAGCAATGGGCAGTCTCCAGCCAGCTGTTAATCACCCAGCAACTTTGCAGACAGGGAGGCTGCTGTGCCCTGCCTCCCACAACTTTGATTTCGGAGGTCATTCAGAAATAGCGTTTAGGATTCGCATAGCTTCTCAGGGGATTCTGAAGCCCAGCCAGGGCCAGGGAGCAGGTTCAGAGGAGGTAAGCGATTTGTCACACAGGAAACGGGCTCTGAATCAGGTATCTGTCTCCATAGTGTCCTGTTCTTCACTCTGACCACACCAGCAGTCAGCATCTTCTCAACTTTATGTTTTTGACTCCTGTGAGACAGACTTGGCCTTTGAGGGCTCTGAAACTTTATTAGTACAGAAGGAAGCTGAGATGGTTAATTTTATATACCACTCTAACTGGATCACCAAGTGCCCAGATACTTGGCTAAACATTATTTCTGGGCATGTCCATGAGGGTGCTTCCGCATGACATTAACATTTGAATTGGTGGATTTAGCAAAGCAGATTCCATTCCCAGGGTGGGTGGGCACCATCCAGTCTATTCAGGGCCTCAATAGAACAACAGAAAAAGAAAGGGAGAATTTGCTCTTTCTCTGCCTGACTCCTTAAGCTGAGACATTAGTCTTTTCCTGTCTTTGGAGAGGGAATTACATCATCCATTCCCCTGGTTCTCTGGCCTCCCACTCAGATTTAACTACATCATGGGCTTTGCTGGGTCTCCAGATTGCAGGTGGCTTATTGTGAGACTTCTCAGCCTCTACAAGTATGTGAGCCAATCCCTCCTAATAAGTCTCTCATCATAAATATATCAATAGGATATCTGTTAGGATAAACATCAATATATCAATAAGATACATACACTAGGACATATATATGATATATTGATATATTTACTAGCAATAAATATGTCAACAGGATATATATTAATGATTCTTCTTCTCTGGAGAACTCTGAGTAATACAGAAGCCAGCAGCAATAGTCAGGCTAAGTAATCTTAGGAACATACTTAATTCTGGATTGTGGAGATCTTTCCCTAGGCAAAGTTTTGGGGTAATCTCTGTTATTTTAGGTATGTC